TGTAAGAACTCGGCTCACAACAACAGATGATTCAATTGGAAAATACTCGGGCCTTTCCCCACGGTCGCTTTTATTCTCCTCACTAATCTTAAACCTCTCCAATCTGAAAAGTACACGCAAATATTAAAATTATTTCACCGGAAAACAATGTTCACAAAACAGAAAGTAACCATGTTGTTTTATTATGGTCGATAACGTGACGAAGTTGTTTTAACAGACCGGAAGAAAATGATATATATTGATCAAAAGGGTGAGAGGAATCCTTTAAGACTAAACATGTATTACATTTATTGAAATAAGAGTAGACTTTGTACCTGGTTTGAGGACGGGGTTTTCTCCGTCGCTGCTAGACCGGAAGTGAACATTCGCTATTGCGACACCGCCCTTAAACCCGTGTGCTGCGTTCAAATGCGCATCGGAATTACAAGGGCATAACGCGGAAAATTACAGGAACTCTGTTTTTCTAATCAATTGTAAATTTCCCTTTATTACAGAAGATGCCAAAGCCTTCGACGTTTCACATTTAAATACATTTATTTAGCCCGTAGATCTGGTTGTTTACGGTTAAAATGCACCTATGGTTGAAATGCAGTTTATTGTAAGTCATGTAAAATCACTCTCCATTCTTTTATGTCACTTGTCTAGACCATACACACTACTTGTTGTACCTCCAGCTCCCACGGTATGTGTATCACGTAATAAATAAAACACTCAACAATTTAACTAGAAGGACTGAAGAGTTGGATTCTGCGTCAGTGTGCCACTCTGAAAAACAGCTCGTAGTTTCCGATATTTCACCACGTCCTTGAAAGCAAAAGAGAATGTGACGCAGAAGTGTAATACGGCGTCCTGGTGGATGTTTTACATTCACGTTACACACTGTTGAGTGTAATTTGACCGAAACTTCCAAACATTGAAACGTTTTAATACCCAATGGCTTTAATAAGACGCTGAGTGATCGTATAAAACCAGGAAAGACTGCGCATGCGCAGCGTGTCAGCGGAAGCCGTATCTGCGCCAGGCGGAAGCTGTGACGTCCTTTCTGCTTCGGGACTGCCATCATGGTGAGTTCGCCATGAGAGTTCTAGCTTTTTCATGTCGAATTTGTTTTCGTGTAACTTTTTGTTCTGAGAGAACAGCGGCCGTGTGTGTCGTTAACGCGACCGCGAGCATATCGGCGATGTGTCGGATGTGTGCACGTGGCTTTATATTCAAGTTTAAACGCTATGTCTGTAAAATGTCGGCTGCTGGTCGCAATACAACGTGGTCCACCGGGCTGAAAAGGCCCATCGCTGCTCGGTTAAGCGAACGCATTTATCCTATTTGCGTCACCACAACATCTACTTATACCACGCAAATTATTGCGTTTAATGTCGTGCTTTCCTATTGTTAAATACAATATCGTCTGTGAACGGCACCCCGGCCGTTAGCGGTGAAATTAAGCTAACGTTAGTTATCGTCAGCTAACGTTAGCTTAGCGCTAAGTGATCTGTTGCTGTACAGTTCGGCGCTACAAGCCGGCCAACGTCACACGTATTCACTAGATAAATCAAACTGCTCATTTCGTCTGATTAAAACAACAGAGTGTAATTTTGTGCGCCTCTGATAAATAATATACGATGCTAACGATAACGTCTCCCCAGTGTGATTGTAACTCACTTTGCCCTATTCGAATGTCCACGTGACGTCACGGGGCACCTAACGTCCCATTCAAACTCTATTTCTGATCAGCAGCTTTCTGGTGTTTTCCTCAGGTGTTCAAACGCTTCGTTGAGATCGGCCGTGTTGCCTACATCTCTTTCGGACCCCACAACGGCAAGTTGGTGGCCATCGTAGACGTCATCGACCAAAACAGGGTGAGCGCCCTCGAGGATAGTTGGTGGATCGGTGTTAATTGGTGTTAACTTGACTGGTGCTGGTATTTATTTGGACTTTGTGCTTTTCAGGCTCTTGTTGATGGTCCCTGCACAGGCGTGAAGAGGCAAGCCATGCCCTTCAAGTGCATGCAGCTCACAGACTACGTCATCAAAGTACCTCACAGGTAAGTGGGTGCACACCAGTTTCTACACAATCCAGTCTAACGTCTGATCTAAAGTTAAAATGTCAATACCTAAACGAGTACACTTCGTGAAACCTATTGGTGTACATTACTTGCCATGTTGACATTTTTTTTTTCTCACAACAGTAAAACACCCAAATTATTTCAAAATTGCCATTTGCTAACTTGTGCAGTATAATGAGTCTCTTTATCCAGTTAAATGCAGACTATTTTCCTTCTGTACTTACAGATGCATTTCACCTGTGTAGGTGTGAATCAAAGTGTTTTTAAATAGTAAAATGCACGCGGGACTATGCATTGCGTGAGTTGTGGGGGTTTGCAAACCAATGTTTTGGTCTCCAACGTATTTGTGTGCATGTTGTACTGTAAACGTGCATGTAAGTGGAACCACCTCGAATGGAATACTTCCAGAAGAGTCAGGGGACACGGCGCCGTAGAGTCAACGTGACTTGTCTTTTGTTGTTAGGTATTAGTATACGATATCGGCACTGACTGTATTTAATGGTTCACAGTGCCCGCCAGAAGTTTGTGAGGAGAGCCTGGGAGAAGGCAGAGGTCAACCAGAAGTGGGAACAAAGCAGCTGGGCCAAGAAGATCGAGGCGAGAAAGAAGGTAAAGTCTACGTCTCTGGTCAATATTATGTAACATCTTAAGACATTAGTTTGATCATTATCATCATTATGAGTGATGCACCGGCTATGATGTACATCGGTTGTCTCTCGCCCAATGTTGTGGTGAAACATGTCTCACTTCCCTGACTTCTTTCTCTGGTTCTTTGCAGAGAGCCAACATGTCTGACTTTGACCGCTACAGGGTGATGAAGGCCAAGAGGATGGTGAGTTCAACAGAGACGCTGACTGCTGCATTAATGCCGGTTTCCTCGTGAAAATGAATCCTGTTCACAAGAAAAACAATGTTTTGATTGTGCGCTTACACGTCAATGCCAGTAGTTTAACAATCTTCTATTTTATTCTTCTTCCTCATAGAATAAAGTGTAACTTTAATCAATTGCTTTTTGGATAAAAAATCCCAATCACATTGTGTTTATGAATTGATTGTTTCCACTGCTGAGGTTTTGTTAAGTTGCGAACCATCCTACAGTATTAACGCTCTTTGTTTCCACAGAGGAACAAGATCATCAAGCACGAGGTGAAGAAGCTCCAGAAGGAGGCAGCAAAGAAGTGAACAGTTCCCACAAAATAAATCTCCTGTTCAATTGTTAATTGATCTTCTCATCTTATTTAAAGGCTTTGTGTGGTTTAATCTATTGACCATAAACCTTGTTTCTGGTCAAAAGAAAAGGTCCCATGAAAATGATCTTCACTCGTTTAGCTGAACCGGCCTCTCGCATGTTTACGGTTCAGTGCGGATGAAGCGCTTTAAGACTTCTAATCTGCAAGTTAAATAAATGCAGAAGCTTGATTCAATGATTTCAGCTCTGCAGTTGAATTCAGAAGCTCAGTTTATATAAACGTGTCATAAGCCAACATAGTTTCACGTATGTTTTCACATGAGTGAAATGTTCAACTCATTTTGACTGTTGAAGGGATCAACCAACTGAGCACCTTTCAGTTTGTGGAAAGTTTTCACTTGAATGCTCCAAATGCACATAAAACAAATGGACCTATGATTTATTCACGTACAACAGAACATCTTTTCGGTTTTAACTTTAAATAGAGCTGCAATCCAGCTGGCTGACTTCTCAGGAATCAGGAAACATTTATTACCAAAATGTCAAACATACAAGGAATTTTAGAAAGTTTAATCAAATGTGAAATTCATACGAAGTAAAGAGTTGGACAAAATGAAACTCATGACTGAACTTATTCCTCAAATGTCCACTAGATGACAGTCTAAACTAAAAGTGGTTGTTGACTCCTTTGTCTTTGTTTTTACTTTATAGCGGCTCACATATGCGTGTAGTTTGATTTGTAAACAGTCCTTCGTGGATTAAACGCACGCTGAGCCGTTTGCTTCCATGAGAGGATGGCAGGAAATCAATATTCATCTAATTGAGCTGGTGTCACCGAAACGGACCGACACACAAAGCAATGGCTTTGTCCTGATGCAGATGATCAATAAAACAATCTTTTTTTATTATCAGACACAAGCAGCTTCTGATGTGAAACCCTGCCAGCAGCCGGGTTGTCAACACACACAATACACAGTGTGTAATAACTGATAATCAATTTTTTCCTGGGCCATAAAATAAATATGTATATTTTCCTCTCCATCAATTTGCATCAAATGCCTAAAATCCGCATCCAAACCGTGTGTTTAGGTAAAGATCCAAAAAGAGCTCCAGCTCTGCTTTATTATAAGGCCTCATAAACATGCTTTTTTTTTTTATTTGAGCGTGGTTCTGACGTCAGAGATGAACGGTACGGATGCGCAGTGATTGGAGAGCTGTCGTTCAGTACCAGAGACACCGGAAACAAGACAGTTGGTCTTCAAAATAAAACAAGCACATAAATCTTATTTTATGACCCATGGGGGATCATTTCTGGGATATCAGATTTGAAGCCTTTTTATCTCTATTGACTTATAACAGCACATGGTTAGTTGTACACACCTTTGCTGAGGTGTTTGTCTATTTCTTTGTCTTAGCCTACTTAGTTTTTATGCTTCATTTATTGCAGCTCTTTTTCTTCATTATGTTAACAAAATTGTAATAAAAATACCTCATTGTGAATACATTAAAGTTTAAATCCATAACAAGAGTTGAAAATTGTACGTCAAACGATTACAGATCCACGAAATTCATTCCTAATATAATGAACTGATTATGAAAAAACTCAACAATAACCTATTAGAACTCAAAACATCGACATTAAACGTCAACGATTCGTTCGATATCTGAAGCTAGAACTCACATCATACTTTGCTTTTATTCTGAAAGCTCCACTTCCGGTGTATACCTTCCACCTGTGTTTGTTTTTTTCGCGCAGCTGACGGAGCGAGGGAGGGGGGAGAGGCTGGAGGGAGGCCGCGTTGCCAGTGTGACACACTCCTCGGACCTATTCGTCGGGTCGCTCCCCTCGTCAGTCGGTACCGACCGCAGAACCGAACCGAGCCCCGGTACAGCGCGCGGACCCCCGCACCGGGCCAACGGTAGGACGGCTGCCGCTGCTTCGGATGCCCCCCCGTGGTGAGTAGGACTGCTGTGGTCCCCCGCATAGTAATACATGTGTTAAGTCAGCTGCAGGCTGGGGGGGGGTCTGTCCTTTAATGCGCATCTTTGGGTCGTTATTCTGCAGCTTGTCATGTTGTTGTGGATGCAGGCGTGTTGACAGTGTGTGTGTGTGTGTGTGTGTGTCTGTACTGTGGGGGGGGGGGGGGGGGGGGGGCCGAAGGGGTCTCCAAGGGGGCAGAGAATCCTGTACCGGGGAAAGGGTGCTTTCTGACACCTTTGATTTTTTTTCTCACAACGTCATGTCGGTGGTGAAGAAGAGCACGTGATAGTCTCTGTAGGTGTTATTATGGCAATATAACCACGCAAGACATGTGGCGTGAACGGGATATTTATATGTGTCATCTGTGGTGTTTGTATTGTATTCTAGTAGCAGTGGTCCCTGCGCAGGCGTTGCGTACAGCAGGAACGATGTATCCCAAATATTTCTTCAATCTCTAAACTTTTCAAGTGCTTATAATTTAAATGTATTATATTTAAAATAATAATAACCTGTAAGTCTGAACTGGTAACTACTGATAATTACGCTTGGGAACCACTATATTATCATAAAATAATATTACATCTTAACTTACCATCTGCAGTGAAGCAACATTCTTTTTCTTTTATCACGGACATTTTCAGAAAATGTACTTTATGAAACACACACACGACTCACTTGCGTCTGCGTGTGTGTGTGTGTGTGTGTGTGTGTGTGTGTGTGTGTGCATCCTCGCACAGTTCCTGAAACATCAACACCTACACGTTGTAATTGTCAGGCGACGAGTTGGGTACTTGTGTGCGTTTGTGTGCGTTTGTGTGAGAGAGAGAGCAGAGACGCATTCAGATGTCATCTTCCTATTATAAGACAAATGACTCACTCTCTTCTCGCGAGCACAAACCTCCAGCTGAGGATCACACGAAAACCCCACAGAGCGTCTTATGCTTTCAGACTTTTCATTTAAGCAACGGCAGACTCATTTTTACTCCCTTTTCCATCTCACTGTATCCGGTGGTGTTGTTAGGCGTGCTCCCTAGCGACGCTTAAAACTTGTGTCTGGGCGTCCAGGTGAGCGTTGGGCACACCTGTAGGCGAGGATCAGCTGGCAGGAATGTTCTCGTGCGAGGACGTTGTGTGTCCTCGTCGTCTGTCCTCGCAGGTATCCTCCTGCAGGAGGAACGCGTGCGCGGCACGAGGAGCCTCGGAGATCTTTTTGTCACCCGCGAGGGGTCCGAAAGCTCTCAAATGAATGAAAAGGAATCATGAAGAAGTTCTAAAAACAGCGGCAGGAAAATATCAGGAAAATAGACAGTGTAGAGGAAAATAATATTAATAGCCAATAGTTTTCATTCAGAGAAAATTATAAATATTTGCTCCATTGTTTTATTTGTTTATTGGGCTGTTGGTCTAAGATCAAGATATTAACTTGGGTTTATTCATTTCAGACATTTTATACACTAAACATTTAGTTTAGTTTATTGTAAAGCCCTTTGCAAAAGCAATTAACAATTTCATTTGATTTCTTTTAAAGAAAAATTACTCGGAATCGGAAAAATCGGAATAATCAATGTTAAAAGTAGTAGTTAATTGAAGCCAAAATCCAGACTTAAATCGCTCAACAATTGGATGAATTATCATTGAAAACGCGGTGGAATTAGAACACGTCTCCTGACGTTCATCTCGAGCCATCAGAAGGTCCAAATTTGAATGTGTTCAATAGGTTAGTGGACTCAAACATACAAAACGAATGACTAACTCCCAGATACTACGCTCGCGTTCATCAGACAGGTTCGGCAGGAATTCCTCCGGAGGGCGGAGCCGTCGACATGAATGGGTGAACTCAGCCCGCCCCCCTCTCTCTCTTTTCACCCTCAGCCCAGCAGAAGATGCGATCGCAGGAGGACAGCGCTCCGTGAGCTCGGTGAGTAGTCCGGTTCTAGAATCAACCACAAAGCTCGCCTGACCCCACCCGGGAGGAGGAAATGAAGAACTGACCACGGAGCGGCGAGCAACAGAAGGTAGCTCCTCCCCTCCTCCGCCCGCATCCATGGCGGGGCCCAAGCGCCACCGCGACGGGAAGATCGCCGGCTTGTACGACCTGGACAAGACGCTGGGACGCGGCCACTTCGCTGTGGTTAAACTGGCCCGACACGTCTTCACCGGGGAGAAGGTACGCTGGTCCGTGTCTGTGCATGCAGGTGGAATGTCCCGCTGCCGACGATCGAATTCCTGCACACCTGAATAGATTACTCACCCTTAGAGACTGTAAACACAGAGATCCGAGCGGTGTCCCTCCAGCGGGACGTCCCGACCTCTCTCCCATCTGTTTGAGGCGGCGGCCGTTGCCCAGAGTGGGGGAGGCGAGGGGCCCCGTCGGTTGCCGGTTTTCGAAACTCTTGACTCTAAAAACCCAACGCCATGTTCCCCCTCACCCTGTCCAGGTCGCGGTGAAGGTGATAGACAAGCACAAACTGGACCCGGTGGCGCGGGCGCACCTGTTCCAGGAGGTGCGCTGCATGAAGATGGTGCAGCACCCCAACGTGGTGCGCCTCTACGAGGTCATCGACACGGCCACCAAGCTCTACCTCATCCTGGAGCTGGGAGACGGCGGAGACATGTACGACTGCATCATGAAGTACGACGGGGGCCTCGCTGAGGAGGTGAGGGGGATTGTGGGTGGCGGCCCGTCAAGCGGTAGGTGGAGGTTCGCGCCGACCCGGCAAGCGAGGGGTCCGCTCTCCAATTAACGAAATGTCGATGGCATTTTCTTCTTTGAATCTCTAAGCTACTGTGCGAGACGGCCGTGAAGGGCACCAGTCCACCGCGCATACCGATTCTTTTTAAGTCGAAATCAATTCCAGACACCAGGAGGCAACTGTCTGACATTGAAAGCTTGAACAAAGCGAGGAGACGTTCTCAAAGCTCCGCAGCGGTGACAGTGACCTTTTATCCGCCTTTTTATGTTCAACATGTTTTTTTTGTGTTATACTGTGAAGAATTACCATTTGATATTTTCTTAAAAACACCCATGGTCAGTATTTATGCTCACTTGATGGAATAGAAGGAAGAATCTGTGCTTACTTTAACTGACGGGTATTTGCCACCGTGTCTGGGACGTTGTCTTCAAGGTGTGTTTAGATTATAGTGACATTTAGGTCACTGGCAGATGTCTGGTTTTATTGAGCTCTTCCCTTTTGTGTCACAGTTGGTTGAGAGAAATAACCATAAAAACTGGGGGCCGTAGTTTAGTTTGCTTTGTACTTTGTTCTCTTGGTCTTCAGCCCACAAGCCACAAACACATGTAATTCACATTCTTTCTCGTAACTAATCTGATTTTTGTCAGAATTCCTCAATTCCGTTCCGGTCTCTCCTCTCCAAGGTGGCCAAGTGTTACTTCGCCCAAATCGTCCACGCCATCTCCTACTGCCACGGGCTGCACGTGGTGCACCGGGACCTGAAGCCGGAGAACGTCGTGTTCTTCGAGAAGCAGGGCGTCGTCAAGCTCACCGACTTCGGCTTCAGCAACCGCTTCCAGCCGGGGAAGGCGCTCAGCACCTCCTGCGGCTCGCTGGCCTACTCGGCCCCCGAAATCCTGCTGGGCGACGAGTACGACGCTCCCGCCGTGGGTGAGCCACCCTCCCGCCGATTGCCGGGTTCCCAAGTCCAGCGCCGCGCGGGCCCCCGCTTTCGCAATTCGGAGGCGGACGGGGCGGCTGGCCGCTCGAAGTTCACATCCTGTCAGCGAACAAGGCGGTTTTGGAAATATGAACTTAACCTGCAGAGTCTGCAGTTCATTTTTGCCCCAGGGTTCCATTCATTGACAGTCATTGCCCCCGTCGGTGTGTAATGAAATCTGATATCTGATCAGGCTGGGAAATTGGTTTTTCTCAGCATTCTCGAGCCGCCCGTATCTCCTGTCGGTGGGCGGGAGCGCGATCCTTCGCAGAGCTTAGATATTCAATCCGAAATGTAATGGGAAAGAAATGAAACAGAGGCATGCAGATTTGGAGAGAGCAGAGCGGGAGAATGGATACAGTCCGCGGCGAGGCCACTGCGTCACATTTTCTCTGACTGAGTGGATCCGCAGCGGCTGTTTTCTTCTGCCCCCCCCCCCCCCCCCCCTCCGTCTCTTTAGTGGCCGAGCTGAAAAATGCTGCTCCCCCGAAAGCGAAGCTCTAGTAGTTATTTGACTGCAGGCGTGATGGTGTGCGGTCAGCTGTTCTGAAAAAAGCCCCGATGACAAGTCAGGTGTGTGTGTGAGTGTGTGTCGGTTCTGTCCTCTGCATTGTTCATTCAGATGAGACGATGATGTTTTGATTGGGGGGGATTATCCAGCCGGCCGGGATGGAACACGATGTGATTGTTTGAATTGGAAGAGGCCAAGCGGAGGTCAGACGTCCGGTCTTTCGGGGGGCTTGCGGGTAACCTGAGCCCGGGATGACATCGCTGCCGCGGGTACCGGCTGCAGACAGACGGACCGGTGCTGAGGGTTCTGGCCCGGTTTGTTGCAGAGATAAAGAGGATTTCCTCGCTCAGGCGTCTCCGGTCAAATCGTTTGGATTCTGTTGCTCTGAGAAATAATTTGGGAGGAAAATTAGCAGCCAATTAAGCCAAACTGCGAAGAAGCAGAGAAAAGTACATATATACATACAAAAGTACACTTATTAATCCAGGTGTCAGATTCTCTTACCAGCAGAAAAATCTTTTCATAAGTGTAAATTCCCTTCGCAGCTCCCAAAGTGTGACAGAATAAAAGGAATTTTCATGAGATAATAATATTTGGAATCCTATGAAAATAAAAATTAGAAGGCAATTACAGGCTGAGCACAATGTATGCGTGTTTGCTCACTTCCAGGAGCGTCTAATGCTACTAAAAGATGCCTGCCTCCTTTTTGCCTTTTGATCTTAAGCAGCGCGTGGGCTCCTTTTTGTCTCCAGTAAACGGGAAAGATGAATACAGGTTCCTGCTTCCTCTTCAAAAAGCACAAGCTGCACAGCAAAAAATCAAGTTACCTAATAGCGATTACAAAGTTCACATCCTGGCTCGTTGCACAACTCACAGCATATCTCTGCCTTTTTAACTCAAACAAGTGGGAGGATTTTGGAGAAAACAAACGTTGTGTTTGATGATCAGCATGACAGGAAGCTGAACTCGGCCCACTCGGACCCCGGAGGCAAACGGCGTGGAGGGAAGTGGTGGTCGGTTAGGTGTTAAAATGCAACCCGCATAAAAAGGATCTTTACACGTCCCGCCGTCGCCAACAAGTAGCAAGCAGCTCAAGTTAGGCTGATGTGCAACGGTATCTACAGATGTGTCCGCCATCTGGGTTATAAATAAAGTTATCGAGGAAGGAAGTTTGGCGGACCGCTGACGCAAGTAGTGAGGGAGGAGGCTCGCGGTTGCTAGGATACGTTGGCTATGGGAACGATAGTGGAGACCGCAGCATTTTTTTTTTTTTCTTCCCTCCTTCCATCAGCAGTATGAGACGCCCGCTTCACGGCCGCGCACAGATAAATACTCGCCACCCACATTAAACCAGCGCATCGTCTTTAGCGGATGGAAATGTCCAGCTAACTCCTCCGTGTGAGGGAGACATATGAGGAAGGGAGAAAAAAGAAACCGTGCCAACGTCTCGGTCGCACGTCCATGTCATGTTTACAGCATGTTTACAGCATGTTTATAGCATGTTTATAGCGTGTTTACAGCATGTTTACAGCGTGTTTGGCTGTCCAATAGAAAGTGGCCCAACAAATCGATGTATATTATAGTAATAATGTAGCTTTAAAAAATGCAGAACACTATTATAATTTCACTGACGTCTGCTGATACTAATGCAGCTTTAAGTGCTTTTTCATTTCCCCTCTTCTACAGCTCTCAAATCTTGCACAAATGTCCCCGGAATATTTGTGCAAGATTTGAGGGCATGGTGAAACACACAAGGTCAACACACGGGACTGCGGGACTGCGTGCTTTTTGTTCACCGTCTCTCTGACTCAGAATGTGTGTCAGTGGATCAGTGGACCCCCCCCCCCCCCCCCCGCAGTCTTGTGTGTCCCCCTTGGGAAAAAAAACCCCTTTTTTAAAAAAAAAAGCGGCCCCGAGGGGTTTTTTCTGTAAACTTCTAGGGGGGGTGATGAACACGTTAACCCACTTTCCTACATGTCTACATGTTTGTGCAGCAGTGCACACCTGTGTGTGTGTGTGTGTGTGTGTGTGTGTTTGTGCGTTTGTGCGTGTGAGCATGAAGCCGGCGGCGGGCAGCAGTGCAGAGCTTCATCCCTGGTTAGATAAATGTGTCCTAAGCCGGTGCATATTTATGGAAATAGCTGATATGATTCATCAGCCGATTCATGCTTCATTTGAACTGGGGGGGGGGGCACCTCTTGTTATCTTTTTCTTTTTATATCTAGGTCACTAATAAGACGTATGTTCCCTACTTTATGTGCACACACACACACACAGGATCCTTCAGGTATTAACAGCATTCTTCTGTGTCTCTGCAGATATCTGGAGCCTGGGGGTGATCCTCTTCATGCTGGTCTGCGGCCAGCCGCCCTTCCAGGAGGCCAACGACAGCGAGACGCTGACGATGATCATGGACTGCAAATACACAGTGCCTGCACACGTCTCCCGTGCATGCACAGAGTGAGTAACCCACACAGATGGGCCCGGTCCTCTGCTGCATATTTCATGTTCACAGACGTGTGAAGAAAAGAGAGGTTCTGCTGCTGCTCGTCGTCCTCCGCGGTCAGCTGCTCCGGCGGAGAGAGACGCAGCGCCGCGTTAAGTGGATCTAATGCACCCTTCAAAATCGGGCCTCTATTTTTATCATTGTGAGGGTTTGGCTTTGCATGGAAGCAGAGAGAGGCTCAGTCGATGTTTCCAGGATCGTCCCAGAGGAAAACTCGGATAACAGTGCTCTCAAATATCTGCTGCGGAGGCAGTTCACTTATTGTGTGTCTGAAATATGTTTTAATTATCTTTTTGTTATGATTGTTTAATTACACTAAATATCTGTTACCGATTATGGTGCATCTTATCACATTACCACGTGTTGGAGGGAGGAAACACTGGAAGGATAAATAATCAAAGAATTATTGGAGGATTAAAAAGCAGAGAAGTGTGACATGCAACATTATCCATATTAATAAGATAAATCTGTTTTATTATTATTATTATGAGTTTGGGCTGACACCGTCGTTTGTGTAAAATCCATTTTAGGCTGCAGCTCATAAACAAATTATCATCATCCAAACTACTATGTGAATATTAATGCATAAATAAAAGCACGCCGAGACCAGATGTTTCTGCATCTGCTGATCCCCCACGTGTCCCCCCCCCCCCCCCAGCCTCATCGCCCGGATGCTGCAGAGGGACCCCAAGAAACGGGCGACCCTGGAGGAGATCGGGGCCCACGGGTGGCTTCAGGGCGTCGACCCCTCCCCGGCCACCAAGCTGTCCACCCCCCTGGTGTCCCATCGCAGCCTGTCGGAGGAGGAGCACGGCTCCATCATCCAGCGCATGGTGCTGGGGGGCATCGCAGACCGAGACACCATAACCGAGTACGTGTCCCTTCTATCGCAGTCCGATTCCAGCAAAAAAACAATTGAGTGTCGTCAACGGTTTAATTGCCATTGACGACCGGGCGGCGGTCGATCCTGATCTGATGCGATCAAATCAAAACTCCTTCCGTCAAATCCTTTTGACTGATGTGTGGGTGGATGTAGGCGGGCATGTGTGGGTGTGTGTGTGTCTGTGTGTGTATTTGGAATTCAAATATAATTCTCTCTCATCACGTCAGGGCTCTGGAGTCGAATCAGTACAACCACATCACGGCGACATACTTCCTGCTGGCTGAGAGGATGCTGAGGGAGAGGCAGGAGAAGGAGCAGCACAGCCAGACGCGATCACCCAGCCCCAGCAAGGCCCAGTTCAGGTGAACACACACACACACACACACTGTGTGATGGACAGAATGCTGCCTCTGCAGGGCTGCAGACTGTCAGTTTGCAAAAGACATGTTTGACAGCCAGATGGACGGACGGCGCCTTCCGTCCCCTCAGAGACTGAAGGACGGACTGAGAATAGAAGAGAGGCTTCAGATCAGCATTAGAACGGGAACGTACCCCCCAAAATATCTTCAGGCCGCCTGTTCGATACCCGTGAAGGACCATCTATGGAGTCTAGACGTGTAGATCCGTGTGTGATTAATGAATATGTGTGTTGGGTCCTTTGTAAGCGGGTGTTTACATCACGCCTATTTGTGTAAAAATAATCCTCTCCCGAAGGGAATAAAGAATATTTATAAAAGTTTCAGCTTGCAAAAAAAGGCACTCGGACCATTTGACTTTTTAGCATTAGCAGCAATTGTAACTAATGCCGAAATATAGGACTTTAAGTAACAGCCTGTTTGTTATCTGCTCTGTAGTCTAACCGAGCTACTTGCTGTATAATCAGCCACGCAGCCGCTGTGTTGGCATCGTGCTAATTCATTGGTCGGGCAGATGATGCAGAGGCCGACCCGTAGCACGGTTACGTGAAATGATACATAACATACATAAGTTGCTTAGTGGGATGAATCCTCATTTTAAACTCATGCTGCATTAAATATTAACAATGCTTTTGTTGGGAAAATTAAAATAAGGTTCAGTGTGAGCGGACTGTTTGATATTCTTGTTCAAATTGCTGTAACTATTTCTTGGCACTACAGTGTGTTCATTAGTGCGGATGTGCTTTGTGCCAGACTGGCTCTTCCGTCTGTATGCTAAGCTAGGCTAGGCTAGGCTAGGCTAGGCTAGGCTTCGCTCCAATATGCAAATTAACCACCATGTTGAATTACTTCTTGCTTAAAGCAGTGTTGCTCATTCTGTTCCATAAACCTGTTTTTCTCCACAGGCAGTCCTGGCCCACCAGAGTGGACGTTCACCAGGACGTCAGTGACGGCTTGGGGGGTCCGACTATCTCCCACCCGGGGGGGCCGCAGTCACCCGCCCGCAGCGCCGAGAGCCTCCACAGGCCCAAAACGGCCCTGCTGGACCTCACGCAGGCGTCCAGCCACACCCAGGAGAGGGGGCTCAGGCCTCCGGTGAAGCCCCACTCCAACCCCCTCAGGTTGGGCTCTCTGACCTCAGTGACCCCCTGCAAACCTCGTAGTCCCAGTCTGTTCAGCGTGGAGGAGGACGAGGAGGAAGAAGGCTTAGATAAATGTTCGTCGCCCTCCTCGTTTCCCGCTCAGGTGGTGCTTCGTTGCAAATCCTCTTCCTCCTCGTCCATGTCGGCTTCCGCCAATCGCCTGACGTCCCGTATGAGCGCTCCACTTCTCAACCAGATCCACGAGGAGGATAAAGAGGAGGAGGAAGAGGAGGAGGAAGAGGAGGAGAGGAGGGAGCTGCACGGATTCAGCCCGCCCAAACCCAGCCTGAGCCTCAACCTGAACTCTAGAGTACCCTCACTACCAACGCTCATGTCATCGCCCCAAACGGCACCGGTCGCCGCCTTCACCCCCAGCCCGGCGCCTAGTGACGACGAGACGGGGAGCCACCATGAACCAGATACGGCCACTGTAGGCAGACAGGCGGGTGAGGGCGGAGGGGGGAGAGAGGATGGAGAGACAAGGGGATCGGGGCAATGCAGTCCCTCCAACTGCACCAGTCCTGGATCGGGTTCTGGCCAAGGCAAGGGCCCCCCCAAGGCGGCCAGCGGCCTGGTGGAGAGCTTAAAGCTGATGAGCCTGTGCCTGAGCTCTCAGTTCCACAACCTGACGGGGGGAGGAGGAGGAGGAGGTGGAGACGGAGGCGGCGGCGGCGGCGGCAGCGTCAGCGCCGGCGGCGTCGCGGTCGCTGACGCCCAGGACCTCCCCGTGTGGAGGATGTGCATGGGCGGCTCCACCGGCAGCCTGGACAAGGTCTCGCTCCTCGGCGGCCCCTCCCCACGAGGGAACCCGTACCACCAGCAGCCCCCGCTGAGGGACGCGCTGGCCGACCCGCTGCTGGAGGGCTCCTGCGCGGGCACGCTGAGGCTGGGGGAGCTGGACCTGGCCCGGGAGAACCACAGGAACATGAAGAACCGCGTGCTGCAGATGCCCCTGAGCGACAAGACGCTGTCCGTCAACATCCACCGCGGCACCAAGGAGGGGCTGCTGTGCGCCCCCACCCCGCACAGCTGCTGCCAGGTCATCTAGCCGCTCCATCTGTCCATCTCCTCCGCCGCCTCGCTGTTATTTTGTGCCGTATTTAACATTATTTAACACTTAGGGTGGAGGACGGGGAGGGAGTCCAAACGCCTACTTTGCACATTCAGAGACGCAAAAAAAAACAACAACAACAAGAAAAACAGAAGTCTCCGTGGAGGACGCTGGGTGCCGAGTATGTGAAGCACTTTCTGCAGATTAAACACTAAAGGGGCATTTCAACCCCGCGATGCCCCTTCATCACGGAATATGGGAACGGTGCTCACATCCCTGCTCTTCACACACTTGTATATACTGTTTGTACGCACTTTGTGCACGTCCACGCGCACGCCTACATCACTCTCCGATAAGCTGGCAAAAGAGACACACCGTGTGTTTGTTGTGTCACGTTACGTGTTGTGCTTGATGCTGTTTCTTTTCTCCCAGACAATCATTTTATCTGTTTTTTTTTTATAAATTCAGATATTTTGTGTGTTTTTTTCATTCAAAGAACAGGGTGAAAATGGACTCGACGTGTCCACCACAGTGTTTTGTAGTCTTATCACTGTTTTATTTTTCTATATCAGTTAGTCCAGAGTTTGTACATATGTGAATAACCTTCCTAGCAGTACTCCGTACTCGTAGTATTGACGGTGAAGTTGTATCGCAGTAGTGGACCTGAATACTTAGAACGTTACACGCCATTACTCTCCACTCCCACTGGATGTCCACGGCGGGGGTTGAACCCCAGAGCCGAGGTTAGAGTTTATTACACGATCACGCGACGGCAGCTCTTTAAATTCAAAGCGACCGGCTTCTGGGTCGGCGCGTGTTCGCCGCCGTACGTCCCGTGGCGCTCCAGCGTCGCAGTAGCCACAGTTGTAGCACGTTCCGAGACTGAAACAACAAAAAAGGGGGCCCACCGCCCCTTCCAGTGTCGGCCCGTGTGACTGGATGCGCGACCCGCCGCCGGCGGACTATATACCTTGATCGGTGCATGCGTCTTTTGCTGTAGCAACGTTATTCCATCCACCTGCTGTATCTACATATAAGTAACAGATTCTCATGGTCACTTTACCGTAGCCTCACAACGAAACCAGCGACTGCAAAATGTACAACAAAAGTGGATGTGCCATCGAACCTGTCTTGAGCATATTGTACTGTACTGTATATGATAGATACATATATATATATATATATATATATATATTAAAAGGAAACTATGTGAAAGAAGTCTGTTCATTGACTTTTGCTGAGTGAGAGTCGATCAGCCAAACAACAACAACACAACACGTCTTTGATGGAGCAGGACATTGTGTTATTGTGTTTATGTTCCTCAATGGTCTCCAAGCTCCCCCCCATCACTGCAGGGAGTTGTAATCTGTGCAACATCTGGGCCACTGTTCCAGATCAGCCAGCTGGGAGGAAATCAGATCAGACCAGATGAGCTCGCGGGGTCGACGGATGAGCCGTGTGTGACATGTACGCACGCAAACACGCACAAAACAAACAACGCAGATCCCACGTCGCCCGCCAGCGCGGCGAGAAACATCCCTGCCCCCCTCATCTCTCTCCACCGCTGCGTTAGCAGTTTCACGTCATGCAAGCTCCCAGATGTGGAGCGTGTCGGGTGAGGCCACCCTGCAGGTCAGATTTGGTTTGCGTGTGTTTTTTTTTTTTACAGGCGACGCTGTGTGTGCGACATGAAGGGGATCAATCCGTCAGAGCGTCTGCAGGCGGACCATCTGCTCCCCGGCCTTCCTTCGGCAGCGGTGGTCTGTTGAAGTTAATCCTTTACTTCCCTTTTTTTCTTTTTCTTTTTTTTCTAGGTTGCGGCAAACACGTTGGAATCAGACAAAGATTTTCCCGATTCAATTCGGATGCATTCAACAATACATCAACATATACAAACACGGAGGTCATAAGCAGGCGGCCACAACAAAAAGGTAAAACCTTTGAAGGACGACATGCTTTATATTCTATACTCAGACTTTTCCTGCAGGCAGGTAGATGAAGCACTGCTTTTGTATCCAGGTGCATAATGACGGCGGCTTCAGCACCGTCCGCCGTTATTCCACTTATTTCCTGTTTTTGTGTCTCTGTTTTTGTGTCTCTCTTTCAACGTCGTGTGGTCTCCGTCTGCCAGCAGAGCATCTCATGTGACCGCCGGTGGAGCTGAATGCTCAGGCGGAGCTGCTGTCAGCAGGCTGTCAATGCGAGCTGCTGATTAAACTGCTGTGAGGAACAAAGCCCCCCAACACAAATACACACACACAAACACACACACACACACACACACACACACACATTTGCTCTCAGAGTAAACATACAGTGTTTGGCCACCTGATGGAGCCTGACATTGAGAGGTATGTGTGGGTGTGTGTGTGTGTGCAATGATGGTCTCTTTGTATGTGTGCGTTTGATTTCACTGTCTGCTTGTTCGGAGCGCTACTGAAACTGTGTGTTTGCCCATCTCGCACAACGTGTAGCCACGGAGCAGGGAGGGGGAAGTCAATTTAAAGGGGCTTCTTTATTAGCTGTGGCAGGAGGGGATAAAAGAAAACCATCAGTACGGTAATCACATGGGAGACCACGGAATTCATCGCAATAAAACAACAAAAACAACAAAAAAAAGCCCGTAAAACTCTGATTGTGTGAGGTGGAATGAAAGGAGGAAACACTAACAGGGCGTGCACCAGGAAATGGATATGAAAAAAACAACAACAAAAAATGTTTGCACTGCGAGGAAGCAGGACACATCTGGAGAACATTTTGCATCACAGCAATAAAAGTTTGCAGCTCACGAAGCAGCTCAGCAGAGAGGCCGACGTGGCTGCGGCTCGGCTCCAGAGGTAATGTGAGAGAAAAAAAGAGGACCGTCGTAGACAGAATGCGAGGAAGGGGAGCACGACGTTTTCTCATGGCTGGCTTTTTCAAAAACAATATCTGCTGACTGCACGTTTGGAGTGTCTGGACGCGTATTGGAGGGGACAGGGGAAGATGTATTCCTGCGCTGCCTTTAGCCAACGCTTCACATGGCAGCTTTAAGAGCTAAGACATGATGGACGATAGGGAGGGTTTCCTGGCTCCGAGGACAGGACGTCCTCCAAAGCCACGTCCTTTTGGTTCTGAAGGACACCGGTTTCTATTTTGGATGTTACCCAACGAGGTTTTTATAAGAGCCCGTCCCCTCGCGAGGCAGACATCCTGGCACAAAAAGCTCTTTCTTTCTGAATAAACCATTGTGGGCTGCGACCTTTTGCAAAATGAGGTAAAATAGGATGAGGGTGAAAGGTCACTGGTTAGTTTTATAGGAGCATTTCATTGATCTACTCAAATATGATTTCATTCTTATGATTTTACTCAAATCCTTTTTTCACATTCAGGTAGTCATGTGATCCAATGTAATACGAATAGCTGCGTTATAGTCGTTTTAACACAAATATATTTTGACAATCACTGCAATAACTAACTCCATTTTAAATTGACATTTGTAGCCTCATTATATTTAAACAAGCTCTTCTAACTTTGAATGCTAATTATATTTAAATATTATGTATGAATAAGTGGGGAGGAAGGCCCAGCTGTACTTTTTAAATCCATGTAAACAAACTGGTGACAGTCGGCTTCAAGACCAGATCCCGCTCAGCAGAATCGAGAGTTTCGGTGAAAAGAGATAAATTATCCGCTTTACAGCATTTTATGAATCAGCGGCACTTGGGCATCGGGCCCCGGGGATGATTGCCGTCGCACGAGTCTCAATGCAACAGTTTCAATGTCTTTCTGCATCCATTTCGCCCGGAGAAGTCTCGACAGCGAACAAGCAGCCAGCTGGCAGACTTCAGTCTCTCCTGATGCATGATGGGAAATGCACGGTGGGGTGCTGTGGAGTGCTCTCCCTGCATAAAGGTTGAGGGTTTATCGGGGGTTCTTTGAAAAATAATTAACTGTCAGGAATTTTGTTGTATAATGCAATAAAAGACCTTTAACCTTTAAGATAGATATTCTTTTCCCATTTCACAACACAGACCTCGCCACAGAGCCCTTTTTTATGCAAATGGTGCAAATGTCAATTTAGCTGCCAACACAGCTGAAAAATAAATGCAGTCAGGGGGGGGGGGGGGGGGGTTGCTTGATGCACGTGCACGTCCCATCACACCAGTCACATGATTCTATTGGGCTTTTGCAATGTGGGGATCAATACCTCCGGAGTCAAAAGGAGAGCGGTGCTGGCCTCGGCATGTTTTTAACATTAATCTTTAATTGTGTTTGCGTATTAAACATTTACACTTTGAACCTGACCATGGCTGCCCACCAACAAGGAGGGAGAACAATCAGTGAAACAGGGTTTTTTTTGCAGGGCAGAGAGCGATACGACTGTTATAACTGAGTTCCTGATGCTTCGGCTGCATAAACCTGCATGTGGTGATGCTGATTAAAGAGAAGCCGAGAGCTGATAGGCTGCCAGCAGGCCACTGAGTGTGTGTGTGTGTGTTTCTATCTGCACACATCTTTTCATGTGCAGTTATTTCAGGCCTTCAAGCCTTCAATTATATCCGAACACAGTATGAAAGCTCCTGTCACTTTTCTCTCCTGGGGCTCTTTTCCTAATCATGATTTCGTGCCCACGTGACAGACAGACAGAGAGTTTATCAATCGCGTATCGCGGCGCCGCACGCCTCAGTCCCCCGACAGGCTGAACGCTCCTCTGCCGAAAGACGAGCAGCCAGCCGGCGTCTTCGAGACGAACAAGCACGCCCTAATTACCCCGTCCAAACCACCACCGCGTGACTTCCAGCAGGTCGGAAGTCCAAAAGGATCGGTTTCCGTGGCTACCCTGTTGCCAGGAGACAGTTGGGGCGGGGGAGGTCAGTGACGAGAGACGGGCAGAGGTGACAGGCCTCGAGGCTCCAGTACTCTACTGGACTGATCCATCGTTCAGGTGTCTGCAAACTCAATTAAATGCACTTTGTGCAACACTTAGGTGCAAATATTAGGTTTTAACATTTTTAAGATTCATTTTAACAAGGCCGCATGGTGACTTTTTGTAGTACAGATAATTAAAGAGCAAAAATTAGTCAAATGAAAATACAAATTCTGTGTGTGGAGCAACTGCAACCAGCAATCCCACAAAGTGCCACTCGGACGGACAATTGTCAAAAGAAGCGCTTTCTTGTTGTATGTGTTTAAGTTATAAATGTTTGTACGCTATTAAAAGCAAAGAGCCGAGTTGGTTTAATATCCAAAAGCTCAATGTACTATTTTCACATTATTCCCGCGTCCTGAACGTCTCAGCGAGGGAGAAAGATGTGCTTCAGCTCCTTTTTTAGTTGGGAATACCACGGCAAATAAAATGTAAAATAATTTCTGCATACTTGTGTCTTGAGGGGTACTTTAACTTATGCCCCCCCCCCCCCCCCCGGTCCTCCCCTTGAACAGAAGGCCTATTTTAGTCCAGCACCCATCGCTGACCCTATCTGTCATTGCGGTGTGACTTAGCAGAGAGATCCGGTGTCGCGCTGCTCTTAAAGCACAACTGTCCAGGTCCGCTGAGTGTCGCGTGAGGTTCGCTCGCCGTGGGATTCGCTGCGAGCGGCGCCGTCACCGCGCTGCTCCGGTTTCTGCCCCCCCCACCCCCCGCCGAGGGAGTTCCGTGGAAAACACGGCCGCCCTTTGCCCCGAACACCTCCTCCCCCATATCTCCCTCATAGAGCGGGTGAGGGGTCAGAAAAAAACAGACTTTGCCTGGATGTGAACCATAAAACGAGGAAGGATTTCTCCTCTTGGGCAGAAGACATTTGCACAACAGTTTCTCTGTATTTTCCAAATGGAATGCAGTGTTTTAAAAGAAAAGACTGAGCGGACGACACAGGCTGCGTCTCACGTTTATTTACAAAACACGGATGAAGAAACCTGCGGCGAGGGACGGTTGTCACTTAAGACTAAAGTGCATGATAGAGGCTGAGGCTGTGTAATGGATTTGTGTTATTTAGACCCCGTGTGTGTGTCTGTGTGTGTGTGTCGGCCGAATGAGGGAGATCTCGCCGCCTCGCTTCCTCATCTCGGCTTTTTCTCCTGCGTGCCGGCGAGGATCTGCAGGACCGTCCGGTTAAAGTCGTTGGGCTGGTCGGCGAAGACGTAATGGCCCGCTCCTCTGATCACCTGACAAACAAACAAACAAACAACAACAAACACCCAGTCGGACGGGGAGAGAGAGAGAGAGAGAGAGAGAGAGAGAGAGAGAGAGGGTCGTTATCCAATATCCCCTCAGTAAAAAGCTTTGTCGACAAAAATAAACAAGAATGTTGAAATACATGAAAAACACTTAGAAATAGTGATTGTTTAAGTTATAAAATCTCACAGAGACGGCGATGAACTTTTACCCCGTTCACCTGCGCCGTCTCCACTGACGCCGCATACCGAAACCGAAACTGTGAAATTAACCGACGACAAAACAAAAAGATCCTACTGTGATTTTCACGTCGGGTCTGGTTTTCTTGAAGGCGTATCCGGAGTCGCTGTCGATGCTGGAGCGCGACCCGTAGATGAAGGACACGGGAATGTGGGCCTGGACCTGGCCGATCCTCTCCAGCATGGGCCGCTTGGCCCAGCCGTAGGGGATGGTCATGTTCGTAAACGCCGTTTCTCCGCTGAGACAGAGAGGTGTAACGACAGGGGAATAAACTCTGTATTTATATCAATCGTTTACGTCATAGGCCTCGAACGCACTGCAAATGTTCTATGTCGTTCATTTTGTAAGCGTGACGCCGTCTGCCGGCCTCCCTCCGGGTTCCCCCTTTTCTCTCTACCCTTTAAATGTTCCGTTTTAGGAAAAGAACATACAAAATAAATGGAATCAATTTGAATAATTGCTTCTCACCTCGGAGTCTGGGCGTTGAGGTGGTAGATGTAGTCCGACACCGTGTTGTCGTCAAACACAGAAGAGTATTTCTGCTTGAAATCCGACCGGATCGTCTGGACCAGCATCGGACCTGAGAGAGAAAAGGTTTACTCCAGTGGTTGTTAGCCGCAAAGAGGTGTACTTTAATTACCCGGCCGATGTATTGGGCTGAATATGAAATAGAAGAGTACATGTGAGCGTGTTTGTGTGTGTGCTCACCGAGAGGCCCAGCCAGCCGGAGTGCAGCCAGAGGGTTGAAGGGGCTCATGACGGCCCCCATGGCCCTGATCCACACTGGGATGGAGTGGTGGTTGGGGTTCTCGGGGCGGGCCGGGAAGCCCCACGGCTCCACCAGCACCAGATGTTTTACCCTGCACACACAAGCCAGTTACTTCCTCTAAATTGCAGATCCCACCATTTACTGGTGTGAACAGGGCGGTGTAACAAAGTAAGAAAAGAGTTTGCTTTCCAGCATCATTATATCATTACGAGTGCACATTATAGTGGCTGTAGACTAATGACAGCTATAAAATACCAACTCAAATATAGCTGGATTGTAAACCAGTGGCAATGGGTCTGATCTATTCAATTCTACTCTATGTTACTGTATACATTTTATCCTGGGTTTTGGATTCCTGATCCGGTTTTGAAGATTTTGCTGGTGTGCAATTTCTAATTCTATGAATAAATCTAAATGAAGTAAGTGTATATCTATGTATATATAACACTGTGTTTTACAAAGCTATGAATGCGATGGACCTTCAGATACCTTTGCGGGTATTTGAGTGTGTAGGCGGCAGACAGGTATCCTCCCAGGTTGTGACCCAGCAGCACCATCTCCTCCAGTCCCACCTTCTCCCTCCACTCCTCCAGTGCTTCCACAAACTGCTCCTCGGCCCCCTCCGGGTCGGTGCTGAACCGAGGGCGGCTGCTCCTGCCGAAGCCCAGCAGGTCCAGACAGTAGACCGGCCCGCTGCTGGAGAGAGAGTCCAGGTTTTGGGCCCAAAGGGCGATCCCGCCTCCGAAGCCGTGCAGCAGAACCAGAGGAGATCTGTGCCGGGCGGGGGGCTCGGGGAGCGAGCCCGGCTGTGGCCTGGTGGAAAAAGCTAAGGTCCACAGGTAGTTGTTGTTGGATATGCGGACGTGCTGCCTGGAGAAGGGCCGATTCACACCTGGGAGGATTGTGGGAAAACATGAGAGAAATGGGACTCGGCCCAAAGGCTCCACGTAGACTTCATTTTGACCATTTTTTACAAAACAAAATATTAAACCTTTGAGCCACAGAAGTTCTCAGCCGTGGGTTCAACAACTCACTTACTCTTGAGCATTTTTTCCTCGGCATCTTTCAGATGAGAGGGGGAGGTGGGACACCAGGAGGGAAGCCAACTTAATATCCAGGAGCTGTGATTCAGACAGCAGACATGCACAGGCAGGCAGAGAGAACACGTAAAGTACATGCAAACTCAGACAAAAGCAAACTATCATTTGAACTTTGACCATATGACGTTGCTGATAACATCACTGTTGGCATGCAATCTATATTTCCCGAAATCCCCCTTCTAGTCAAATTTGACATCATGCGAACAACATAAGGAGTGAAGCCCAGACACTTAGTTTACACTGTTTTCTATCTTGACACCAGGTGGGATTAAAAGTTGGGAATTTAATGTTACGATTACTTCAGAACCATAAATATCTGGTGGCCAATGATCAATTCAATATTTACCAAATTCATCAAGGCACAGTTCCAAAACAAATGAAGTATTTGTAATAGAGGGGCAGACCGAAATGACCCCCAGGGAGTTAAAAAAAAAAGTTTTATTTGAATGAAGAATGCCGATCAGCCTAATGGAACATTGGAGGATCCTGATAAATTTTAACTGATATTCGACGCCATGTGGATATTTAATGCTAACACAGTAATAACACGGTTTTAACAGAAATCAACTGAATTGTGTTTTGGTATGTTTGTCACGAAGGTTATAGTTCAACACAGCGACCCGTTCATTCATAAGGGGACACAACAAAGACGGGCTCAAAGTAAAACGCGTTTTAACAGATGAACCTCACCTCTGCTCCTTGGTAGGTTGTATCTCCTCTGCCATCCTTCGCATGGTGCTTGTGATGGTCTGGCGACCATCTGAAAAGCTACTGTCAAAATTCAGTGTGATGCATTCATGTACACTCCGCAAAAACCTCCACACAACGTTTTATATAAAGAAGTTCCAGCTGCAATTATCGCAAAATACACTTTGACCCAAGTCGTTGTCTACGCAGCATTTGTTTATTTAATAACACACAAATATGAATAAAAACACGAATTATCCGGAGGAATTTGCACTTTGTGGACAAGAAGGGCTTTGAGAGAGCTGGACGTTAATACGTCCGACTACACGTGAAGGCAGCAGCGTGGTCCGTAGATGTGCTATGGACGCCCCTTGGTGGTGAGCCGGTGTCGTCGTCTTGACCCTCTGGCGGTAGTTTGCTAGAAGAAACCCCCTCCACACACTTTGTGCTTCTCGAATAAATGCTATGGATTCTTCAAGAGGCGTGTAACCATAATCAATTCCCTAAAGTTAGACAGCTGACCCCCAATGGCTTCATTTCACCAAGGTAACGTTGATATTTAATTGACTGTTAGCATGTCAATTAGCATAACACGTTGTTCCAGGTTTCTGTTACAAGTTAACAACGGAAGTAGTATTTTTGTAAGGTCACATTTATAAAAAATATATTTTGTATTAACCGGGACGTTTTTTACTTGAACAGTCCTCGAATAAATTATGTTTTTATAGAGAAGAATAACATTGAACACAAGGGTAACGTTAGCTAAAATCCCAGGAAAGATGAGGATTTGTCGACTAGCATATCAGTTAGCATTAGCTAACTCCGTCCCACGTGTCTCACGTCACTCAGCCAATCAGAGGCCGAATTGCACATTGAACATTAGCAGTTTATGCTTTTAAAGTAACCCTTTTGTATTATTTACTTTAACATTACTTAAGTAAATACCATTAAAAAATATATATATATTTCCACATTTTGCAAAGCTTCATGTTGCTCGGAAAATGTTTTAAATGAAATGCAGAAATGTGCGTAGCACTGCAAGAAAGCCTTTCGCAATGACAAACCAAGGACGATGACTTTCGCTCTCCTCAAACTAATATTATCCAGGAAAACACAATCGCTGGCACAGAGATTAAACCGTTTCTTATCTGCATACATTTCCTATTATAATTTAAGATAAGAAAAGAGATTAAAGGCGGAGTTAATTTAATTCATCATCCTTGAGGATTTGAGTGGTACAGTATGATCCTGCTGCTGCAGGAATAGCACTTTTTCTATCTCACTTTACCCTCACTTTTTAAAATTTCTTCCTCTGAATCTCATTAAATGTTAAAAGGATGTTTATCTTACAGATCTATGGAGGTTTTACCCTTGAAATGATTAGGAGCACCCTTCAGGAAACGCTGCTTAACTACAGACCACCTCTGAATCAACCAGCAAACAACATACATTATATACAATGTTTGAAAGAGAAAAGTTAAAATGTTAAAAGTTTTATTTTTACAGCAAGTGAGCAGCTTCACTGTGTATTTAATCAATTTTCAGTGGTGACTCGTGAAAAAAAAGCCCCTCTTTCTCATAAATGTTTGGTTATTTTTCTCCCTTTTCCAGGTCAAGGACAATTTGAGGGGAGTCCAACCAGTCCTGGTCCACAAGGTGGCGTACTTGTGTTCTTTAAGTATACGCAGACACGCACACACACACACACACACACACTCACACACAGACAACACACAACTTAGTCCTTCATTCCTCAAACACAATTTCCCTCTCACACCATCCACTTCTGGGGGCTCTTTGACTGTGCGCCCACTGAGTGGTTCCTGAGTGGTTCATTTCCTTCGCTCTCATAGATGCACACACTCTCTTGTTTTTTTGTTTTTTTTATTATCGCTGTGCGTTAACGTCCTTTCACTCCGCTGAACACTCAACATTTCATAAAGCAGTAGACAATGAGGGCGTAGTCGAGGCCGGCTGAAGCCGTCTGGAGACCGGTAACGTGAAGCTTTTAGTGACTTTTTTAGGGCTGCTCAGTGACTCTCAGCCGTACTGTCACGCTAGCGAGAGATTTCACAGTGTATCCTTTTCTTTTATCAGACGCTCGCCTCCGGTAAGCCGCAAATGGACTGGATCAAAACGTCTGTTAGGTCTCATCAGACCTGGGACAATCAGCAAGACTTATTACAAATGGGTCTGAATTGTCTAATCTATGGGTCTATGGCTAATCTATCTTGGAGGTGGTAACAGTAACAATTCAAGTGGCATCACTGTACTCGGGGAAAAGCGCCTTGTGCAGGTCCTGAATGCATAAATATTACACATTATTACATTACATGTAATCTAGCTGACGCTTTTATCCAAAGCGACTTGGACGAAGTGCATTTCAACCATAAGAATACAGGCACAAAAGCACAAGAATCAGGAAAGTGCAATTTCATCAAATAAGCCGATATACAACTTGCTATAGATAAGAGTCATTATAATTATAATTTAAGTGCATCGATTTGTTAGTCTTTTAAGTCGAAGTAGAGTCTGTCTCTTGAAGGCTCTCTGCGGTCCTGATGTCATCAGAGAGCTCGTTCCACCATTTAGAAGCAAGAACAACAAAGAGACACACATGCGCCATTCAGTGCATGATTAGTTTTCTATTCAGTGATGACGAGGATGTGTCTTAAAGTCGTGATTACGTCATTATCTTGTAATACTTACACCACGTTATTAAAATAATAACAAATATAGGTGGGTAAAGATAAACTGGTTGGATTTCAAGTGAATACTGGCATTTGAACCAATTTAAACCGCGTGTTCCATAGAGTTTCGTATACTCATTAAAACCGGTATGCATCTTAAAAAGGTTTAATTTGTGTGATTGATGCACACTATTGTTGCAAAACGCAATGCGTAAATCGATTCAAAGAGATGCGAAACCATGTAAAAAGAAAATGTGGATGGTGTTTGGGAGGCTCAGAAAAAAATCTCTAAATCCTTTTTAATTTCTCTTTTACGGTCCAGTATGTAGGTTTTCTAGTAAATCAATTAGCAGAAACCAAATATATACTGGATTCATAGTATTATTTAAATCAGTGCATAATCCCCTGGAACTAAGGATTGTCGCGTTCTTGCCTCGCTCGGAACGAGCACTTCATGTCTACATAAGGAGCAGGTCGTCTCAGCGAGCCGCCATTTTTCTACGTCCGTGTTTCTTACACCCCCGTAGTTTCCCCGACATCGCCGCCCCGTATTTAGTCCTACACTCTGTTCCTTTAAGCTGGGTGGAAAGTGACCTCCCAACGTTGCAGTTTGCTCGACGTCTCTCCTTGTGAACATTGCATCATTTCTTGTAGTCACATAAATCCCCTCGTCACAGCAGCCACGCCGACGTGTCACGGCAGAAAAAAAGGACAGAAAACATCAGCGAATGCTCCGTTCCGCCCGAGAGAGTCTCTCCGCGCACAGGACGCCCTTTTCTCAGCAGCCGTAGACATCCGACAGAATGTCGCTGTGAAGAGCCGAGGAGCTTAATGCAAACAATGCATCGTTATTCTAATTGTTCACACCTCACAGGTCCCGGATCTGTTGCATACTCAGTAAAAAGTTGATCGCAATGAATGTTGTATCATAGTGATATATGTCAGCTGTATCATTGTGTCTGAGCGGTGCGCCAGAGCAGAGTCTCTGAACACGTCCCTGCTATATTTTCTATCCTTGTGTGTATTTGTGACCTGGTCTGCAGTGTGTCCATTTGTCTGCTCCCAGAGGTCAGCTAGCGTCACATTTGATTAGCACGGGGTTAATACAGTAGATAAGGAATTCAGCTGTGAGCACAAACTGCACTCTGTCATGAGTTTTTGGGGCATGGCCCAGTGCAGCGTGGGTTATAAAAGTAACCGAGCTCTGAGCGTCGGATGAAGAGGGGATGGAGGGGAGGAGTATGGGTCTGTCTGGTTGCTAGGATACGTCGCCGGCGCCAACAGCGGGTATGATTTATAATGGCCAGCCTCACCGTCTCGCTTTCTCCTCTAGTTTCCTCCTTCCTCTCCTCCGTTTCACTTTTCCACCAACTCTCTCCATCCACTACCCCAACTTCTATCCTCAGCATCTTTCCGGGTCTGTTAGCTGGGCCTGTCTGCACATATCTGAGTACTTACTGGTGGCATTGGTGAAGGCTTTTATTTATATGGGTTTCCCTGATATTCCCTCCGGCCTCCATCCCGAGCACACACACTTGAGTTTATTTGGAAATAATGACTAATTTGGAATCTTTTCGCTTTTAATGCAAAATGTAATTCTATACATGGAGCAACTATGTACCCTGTGAGCGTGCATGTTCACACGATGATGCAGGGACTTGATCCACCTCGCGATGTGAGAATGCTCAGGGGACAGATACAGTGAGCAACAGCAGCAGGAGGAGGAGGAGGCCATGTGGGAAGAGATAAAAGGCAAAATGGAGGGCCATGTGTAAGATGAAAGCATGTCATTCAAGAGTGTAGTGATGTAAGCTTATGGGTTTTTGAAGGCTGACGCCAGCTTCTAAAATAAATATTCCTCGTGCAAAAAGTACAGTAAGTAGAAACTTGTGGTTGGGTGGAGATTTCTCTCAGGACAGAACTTTCATAAAACCCTAAACTTTCCACTAAAAGAAATTCCTACAAAATCACTATTGTGCAAAGGGCTTCTTAAGCCAGATTTAAAAGATTCATCGACTGCTGTTGATTCTATGGGATTGCCATTGATTGATTGATTGATTTTGAGTTCTGGTTTAATAGTTGACAAAAGGGGCCACATGGGATTCCTGCTATTTATTATTATTTATTTATTTCACCTCATCTCTGTACGGGTGTTCTTAACATGATCAGGTCTTTTACCTATTTAATTATTTACAAATGTCCGTAGCTAACTGGAGTTACATCCTGGTAACTTGTAATTACCAGGCGTGTTTCAGTCGTTATGCAGCACACGAAGAAGCCTTCGATGCCGTAACCTGTTATAAGTTCAGCTTTGGTACTGATGATGTCCCACCAGCGACCCAGATGTTTTGCTTTTCACAAATCTAAAATATCTCCTCCGGTTCGCCCGAGGCCTCGTCTGACTCTTGACTTCTTAACCTTTCCGAACTTATTAAATTAGATCATTCTGGCGGAGCAAGAAGTCTGTTTGTCTCTTAGTTTGGCGAGCATAAGTGATCCAGGAAGGCATTCAAACTAGAGTGGCCATATTTCTCTCTCCTCTCAGTTCGCCCAGTGTCTTCCAGTAAGTGGAGGATAATTTTAGAGCGATAAAGAGCCTAGCGGATATCAAGGGGAGGGAACACACACGCGCGCACACACACACACACACACGCGCGTACACACACACGTACACAATAAGATGGTCCCTCATTCCCTGTTGCACCTGCTGACCCCACAGGATCCACTGAGATCGGCTACTGCTGAGTGTGCGGCTTCCACACACACTCCAGCATACACACACGCATACACACACACAGGAATGCGTACGCACTTTGACTAATAGGCCTAATGCTTCCTGAAGAGGGCCCGGCACTGCATTAGCTACGGATGTGGGATTGATTTAGAAACTGAAAGCCTTCTAGTGTACATGTGTGTGTAGGAATATGTTGGTGTGTGTAGTTCTACTCCTCCAACGTTATCTGTATACAAATGATACACACTTACACACACACAAACACAGAAGGACACGTCGGGTTCAACAGATGTTTATGATTCATATTCAATACATCTTTTGATTTGGACATTTTTATTCTAAAAAAGCATAAGTTTGTCGAGTCGGTTCACCGTTATTCTTTTGAGGCCTTTGAATGAACATTGAGGGCTTCATCAGACACTATGACTCTTTGCTAATTATAGTTACCAGAAGGGCTAATTAAGGCGGTTTGACCCATCACACCAATTAAACAGCAGTCAAACTCTGGAAACATTCTTCTTTCGAATGCCGGATTAATTCCTGACATCGTTATTAAAAGATCAAACTAAAGAATATAATGTACCATTAAAAAAAAGGCTGTTTTGACGGCAGTCCATCATTGCTACAAGGACAGTGTGTGATATTTAACACATGAAACGGCCCAGCTCTTTATTAACGTGGCTAGAAATGGCATCCGCAATTTACAGTGACAATCAGTGACTTTTGGGCTTTTTTCCTGACTATTGCTGCACCAGCCGCCATAGCTCACTATTCCCCCTGCGTTGTAGTAACACGATGCAAATGTGCTTTTATTTTGGTGAAAGCAGGAAGCGTTTGCATGGACAGTAAAAGATGAAGTCCTTCTTAGGATCAAAGTTTTTAAATGAAATGAATTCCGCATTGTTTTGCACATGAGTCCCTCCTTGCGCCGTGTTTACTGGCCGTGCATCGTTGGGGGGATTCTTCAAGCACTTTATCTTACCGGGAAACCGAAGAAACCTGACATCACCGGCCTTTAAAACTATGACCGTGGATGTCGACCCACTTCGGTTATAGTCTCACCATTAATGTGTCACTGTTTCAACGCATGACGGGAACCTTAGGACGGAGTGAAGAAACAAAGAGGCCACGCTGTGCATGGGGGAGAATATTTTTAGAGAAGCAGGTGACTGGCAGAGGACGCTGGCGGAAAGAAGGAGGGCAGAAGAGGAACGGGTTAAAGCGTCGAGAGAGGGTGAGGTGGCCTGGGGAGGGGGGGGAGGAGGAGAGGAATAGAGAAAAGCAGACGTGGAGGAGGTGGGGAACTGGTGGAGCGGAGAGCCAGGGTTGTTCCTGCTGTGAATCTACTGTACGCGTGCGTTCGCGCTGTGGCTGTGAGCGCGCGTGTGAGTTTGAGCGGCGTGGCTCCGGCTGCAAATGAAACTGTTTACCGGATCGATACGGCCATCATCTCCCAAATGACTGTGGCCTCTGCTGAAGAGCGATCATAAATCACAACCGAATATGGAGGCCAGCGATCTATACCGGCTGCACGCGCCCCCAGCGCCTCTTGTCTTTTCGTTTTTTCCGCCTGCGGTAACCCGCTTGTATACATGTGGGCCTCTTTGTGTGTGTTTCTCCCGACGCGTGGAGATTTGAGATGCAGCAGTCCATAAAATGGAGACACAAGAAAGACAGACACCACCTTATCTTTTCACACAGCCTCACAGCGTATGAAATGAGGATGTAGGCCAAAGCACGCGGCCTCAATAGGCCACACTGTAAGGGCGACATGCCCCCCTTTCCCGCCCCTCGGCTCCCACTCCGCCCCCGTCCCTCTCCACGGGGTTAACAGCAGCTCTCGGCCTGCGCCTGACGGCCCCCGGTGCTCTCCCTCTGAATAATGTAGCCCTCCCGATATCAGTGACAAGAGTCTCGAAACCAAAATAGCATCTTGAGCTTGATAAATATAGAAGGTAATTAAATCGGCAGCAGGAGAGAGACGCACAGAGAACAGCCAGGGAAAAGAGGACAAAACCCCCCTCTCAGTCGCACGAGCACGAGAGACCGTTTCGTCTTGTGGTCTTTTCATTCTTCCTGTTACGTTACATATTAGCAGCCATACATCTGAGTGTTTGTGCGTTTTGTCGTGTCGTTCAGCGGACGCAGTGGACGTGGAGGTCGGCCTGCCACAGCGCGAGAGTGAGTCAGCAGGATTTCACCGGTTCGTCCTCGGGAGACTCGGCCGCGTGTGCGAGCGCTCGCTGCCATCTGCCTCTCGCCCCTTTTTTGAACGTTCAGCTCGTCTCGCACCACCTCTCCGCCCCCTAACGCTTCCAGCGGAGGCGACGAAGCAGGGATTGATCCTGCGAGCGGGTTGAAAGGTTGCGCGTGGGGGTTTTGATCAGCTGGTCAGGAGCAACTGGCCCCCATCTTGACATGATCTCCTCTGGGAGAGTGTGTGTGTGCTTGCGTGTGTGTCTCTGTGTGTCCTTTTGGTGGGACATGTTGTGACAGAAACTGAGCGACAAGCCCCCCTCGCAGCCCAACACCAGCACACTGCGGAGAGATGGATGATGACAGCTCTCGGGCCGCACACACACAGACACACACACATGCACACGCACACACTCACCGTGTCTTCCCATCGCTCGCTCTCTTTGTCTTGTGTCTCTCCCTCCGCTACCTCTTCCTCTACCACACGCCCACACAGACAATGGCATCCTGTATATCGTCTCCCTGACACAAAGGCGCAAACACACACATGTACGTGAAAACTCCGGCAAACGCACACACATACGCGCGCATGCACGCACGCACATTCATGCATGCAGTTGTTCTGGTCTGCATGACAAATATTTATCAAATCCACACACAAACATACACACGCAATTTTTTTTATTTTTTCTCACAAACACACACACGCGCACGCACACACACACACAAACGCTCCACTACTCTCTCTGTCTTGGAATTTTACATTTTAATGAAGGAGGAAGCACGTTGTCCAATCGGAGCAGCGCGAGCCAGGAGAGACCATCTGGGCGCAGACGGCGGGGGGGTGGGGAGGGTTGGTGGGCCGCTCCACTGAGCGTGGTCAGGGTCGCCCCCCCAACAGCTCTCGACGTCCCCCCGTCTGCGGGCGGCCGGTGGTACGACCCGCCAGGCTCGATAAGAACCCCTCCTTACTGTCTCCCTGTCTTCTGTCAGTGCTCGGGTGAGGCTGCTGGTCCTGTACTACAGCAGAGAGAGCGAGAGGAGGGACGTCAGCTGGCACCGCTCTGCAACCCCCCCCCAGCTGATGCTGCATTACCTCGACAACCGGCTCCGGGGTCACTGCCAGGTGAGTCTGAGGACACGCATGTACTCTCGCACACAGGCACTCTGACACGCGCACACACACACATGCACATGTCATGCACGTGCACAAGGGATGAGTTCCACGTCGGTTTCACACGACGACGCGTCAAACTGAACTGATCTGCACACACAGGTGTGCAGCCGCCGATGTGCTCCAGGATGGGGGTAATGTCACTACTACAAATCAGTGCTAATAGTGCGGCGTGTAAGTTGGTGTCCGCGTGCCCGTGGTTGTGTGTACAGAACGTACAGAATGTGTGTGTGTGTGTGTGTGTACATACGCCGTCCCTCCCGGCGTGAGGGTGGGAGACAAAGGGTCCCCTCTGTCTGGCGCTGTAGCACGGTGGGAAAGTTCTCTTCCGTCACCAATCATGTCTGATCGGGAAAAAAGAAAGGAAGTGAAATAGCCCCCCCCCCCCTCCCCTCCCCCCACACCCACTTTTCCACCCCCGAACTCACATGCCCCCCCCCCACCCCCACCCCCATCGCCGTCGAACACTCCTGACTCACGGTGATGGGAGGACACGGTCACAGCGGATGATCACCCGGAAGGGGGGGGGGGGGGCAGTCTGGGGGTTCGAGGGGGGGAGGGGGGGGGGTGTATGGAGGGATGTGCTCTGAGGACACGGAGGCTGAGAGCGGGTGTCCATGACACACATGACACACGTGTAATGTGTGATAGACATGCCATACAGAATGAGGTGAAGGCACATGTGAGGTCATCACATGACTGCCCGTGTGCGGAGATAAAGAGCGTAAATAGGCAGAACTGCCAGCCATTTCTGACCGAAGGCAGACAAAGGGCGGCCGATCATATATGCAGTCTTGTGTCACACTCTGAGCGAGTGTGTATGTGGGTGGGAAGGATGGGGATGGGGGGGGGGGGGGGAGGGTGTTGAGCCTTCACATGTACGAAGGGCGCCTCCGTAAGCGTGTTCTCTACGTACAGTATGTCGGGCTGTCACGTCTGAGCTCGTCCTGTGAAGCGGCAGTCGTCTCCGAGCTGACCACATGTGCGCATTGCGCTGCCTTGGCCCCCCCCCACCCCCCCCATCCAGTCTCTGACGCCCTTATTTAACCTGTCCCGTCCCACTCGGTCTCCAGACTGGGCTGCCCTGTTCATACGACACTAATCAATCCGCTCTTTGTAACAACTACTGTAATAGATGTGCTTTTAGAAAGAGGCCTTTATGAAACCCTGCCCACGTGATTGCGGACCTTTTGTAGAGGGGGGGGGCGCGCACAATCCAGCGTAGTTTCTATCATGTAGATTTGCATTTTTTTTTTTTTGTGGTATTAATTGATCAGTGTCGCGTGGGGGAGACAGGCGGGTTGCTCGTGTTAGAAGGACGGGATGCATAGTGCACAGGTCGCACGCAGAGCTCCATCCATCCCTTAAACACGCGTGTTTCATACGGCGGCGGGCTGTGACGTGTGCAGGCGTTGCTTGGATCATGAGAACGTCGTGAGCAGAGCGGTGACCAGACGCCGCGGTCGGGAGCAGGCTGTACATCCCCCCCCCACCCTTTCCCCATTACCTCCCCCTTTTTCTCTGTGCTCCCCTCCTCCATATGCCAGCACTGATGAGCTGTAGGGCGTGCCCCCCCCCCCCCCCTCCATACGTTACAACGAGTGCATACATTGACCATGAGTAGTTTACACACGACCGCACAGTGACTGACATGTCGGCCGTCACACGCGTCCGGGTTCACGCTGCGACGCCCGACCTGCTACATTGTTGCAAATACGACGTCTGTGGCGCTGAGAAATGTCGCCGTACGCAACAATTACCCTAATTGAACATTCCGGAGCAGCCCTGCAAAATGGCTGCCGAGCCGGCACGCTGTCTGTGATGGCCGACGAGAGTGAGTGTGTGTGTGCGTGTGTGTGTGGCTGCAGTGGTCTAGGCGTCTGTGTGTGCACCTGTTTGTCGAGTTGTGTGTTTGTGAGAGTGATCCTGCTTTTTCTTTTTACTGACTGCTTTGTGTCTAAAGTCTGATCCATAATTACCTCCATACGCGGCGTGTAGGAGACGTGTCAAACCGCACCACCGTGCCAGTGCATGATTGTGAATTTATGAATTTGTAAAAAAAAAAAGAAGATCTTCGCCCCCTTCACGGCCACCTTCAGGAATCAGGAACATTTATTACCAAAATGTTAGACAAACAAGGAGTTTGACTTGTCCGTTGGTGCACAACATCCGACAGTGAGACAATGGACAACAAGACAGATAAGTCAACATAGTGCAAGAAACCCGCTAAATGGGTTTTTACCAAAAGTGCTGACCTTGTTGTTTCCTTTACAGCTCTCTGCCCAGCACCCGGCCAGCCCCCCCGCCGACCTGAACCGGACCCGCCCCAAACCTGCACGGCCCCGCCCACAACTGGCAACCTGCAGGAGTCATCAGGGTTAGTGCGCCTTTGGCATCATCCTCAAGAAACTTACATTTAAGGATCTGCACTTAAACCAAAGTCCAGACAATCAAAGATGTACTTGAAGGGGGGGGCGGGAGGGGGGGGGGGGTATTTCTTCTGATTCAATAGAAAGAGGCAAGAGACAAGCAGAGGGTCGGTCTTAGGGGAAACATCGACATGCATATTTCGCTTTGCCACAAAGAGAGCAACGACTCTCTCGACGAGGTTACTTGTCCAAGTAAGTTGTCCCATTCACATTAGATTACACACACAGACACACACACACACACACGCACAAATTATTAACATCACTAGACTCATTTAAATCGGTTGTGTTTGGCTAATAATTGAAATTTGTGCAGTTCTGCGTTCTCTCATCAGGGAGACCGTAAAAAGACAAAGCCGAACTAAACGACTACCAGCGCTCAGGCCTTATCTCAACTGTGTGGGTGTGGGGGGAGGGGGGAGTGAGAGGGAGGAGGGAGGGAGGGAGGGAGGGAGAAAGCGAGAATCTGCCCCGGTTGTAATGCGTTTGCCGTAGCGCGGTCACACCGTCGAGTCGAGATGCAGCAGAGAGGAAAGACGACGACGATGTACAACGATGGATGAGTGTGTGTGTGTGTGTGTGTGGCACCTCTGCTATATAATGTATATAATTGTTATTATAAACAAAAGAATACCTATAATAAATGGCCAAAAGCCAAAATTAAGCTTCCAAAATACAATTAAACAAAGTAGAATATGATCATGTTGAATGGCAATCTACAAAGATATTGATGTCCACATAGTGAGCAAAGGGACCGTGAGGACAGCAGAGTGTGCGTGTGTGCGTGTGTGCGTGTGTGTGTGTGTGTGTGTGTGTGTGTGTTTCAAAGGGGCCTCTTCGACCCGAGTAAAGAGGAAATGGATGCCTCCTTATCAACGGCAGCTGACCACCACAGCTCCTTTAGTAACGAGCGCAGCGCTCACTCGCTGCCCGACGACGCTGATGCACGGAGCGACGCGTCCTGATCCCGCAGACGCCTTCGTTCCGTTCAGCGCGGCCATTTGGAGCGAGCGAGGCGGCGCGGCCCAACGCGTAAAGCGAGCGAGAGAGACAAACTGAGAGGAAGTGTCGGTTTCCTGACTCTCTCTCTCTCTCGCAATAGAAGAGAGCAATGATTGACGCGAGTGGCGGTCTGCTGGCTGATGGCGGGGGTCGGAAACCGCAGAGCCGAGGAGAGGCCGTGCTCCGCGAGAAGCCGCTGGCCTCGCCGGCTTCCGTCCTCGAGTGCAGACAGCAGGCGTCTTCATTTCCCAACTCGATTTACGGGCATCGGGAGACGGCGAGGCGCGCCCGGCTCTCTCAAATGCAATCAGCCTGCTTGTGTGCGTTTTTAAGGGGAACTCGGAGGGTGCCGTCTTCATCAGCTTTCTTTTCGGCTCCTCTATAGAAATCCTTCCTAAATGTAAACGGCTGCTTAAGGATTTTCTTTTGCTAATTGTGATCTCCCTTTCAGGCTGCGACAGAAAAGCCTAGTGAAGCCCGTAAACTCACCTCATAAAGATTTATTTCCTGAGGTAAGTTGGCCCATTTGTGAATGTTTATCTATTTACACACTACTCATCAAGTGACTGAAATGTCTTGAGATGTTTCAACTCATTTAATTTAAGGCTTAATATCGTAATATCTCTCCACCCAGCAATGAAAGTTCTGCGCATTATTCATGTTTCAAGTGACTGATGGCGTCATTTCAAAATGAGTTTATGGCATAATTTGCCATAATTCAAATAAGATGAAATATTGCCACTATTAATACATTTTTACACAATGTTAAATTTAAGAATTTAAGAATTTTTCTTGCATTAAAAAGCTCTTTAAAGGTGTGTCTCTCTCTCTCCTGTAATTGAGTTCACACCTTTTTGAGCCTCACAATAGTTTCCTGAGTGCACTTATGGGAGAGATTCAGGACAAAGTCAGCTTGAGAGGTACATCCATGTTCACACAACAGCTGCATACAAGCCTGCACTGCTAATGCCTGTTTGACCCTCAGCGGAACGTATGTCTAATGGAGAGAACGGGGTGGAAAGCGTCTCTTCTGAGAGGCAGGCAGGACAAAGGATGGGGGCTGGGATCGTCAGAAAGGAGATGGGAAAAGCGACGAAACGAGATTTGCGATTATTTTCTCCGCTATTTGTCTTTCTTTCGGTTTCTTTCATTCGCTCTAAATTGTCACGGCTCATTCATCCTCTTCTTCACCCTTCATTTCTCTCCGTAACACTCCAGCTGTTCAATCGTCTGTTTCACTTTTGATCTCGATTATCATTTTTCCACCATATTCCTTCTTTAGCTCCGTAATATTTTCTTCCTCCTCCCTCATATCCTTCAAAACACGTGTCAATTCCTTTTCAATAAGCAGATAAAAATCCCACTTTGTTCGACGTTTTTCATGTGCATCTCTTCTTCCTTTTCTTTCCTTCGTTCGCCGAGCAGCTGTGCGGATCCATAGCGTTCAGGTGGCTCTCGCCGAGCGTGTGGACGTTATCTTGAAACGAAGGGCTGGCTGCCATGGCAACCATATGATGAGGCAGGCAGGGCTATTTAAAGGAATTCAGCTGCTGCTTGCGCCCCCCCCCCCCCCCCTCTTCACACCGGTCCAGGTAGAGACAAAGAGGTAGACGTTGAAGACAGATCCTTTGTAGTTCCACTCCTACAATCTAATGTCTGTATGAAGAATGGTTTAGAAAGATAACGGTAATACAAAAATGTGTTTGAACATTTAGTTAATTTGCCTTAACAGCTAATTTACAATCTCCCTACAGATGGACTTCAGGTTTGGTGTTTTCTCCGCCGCTCATTGGTATTCATGCACGTGCAGGTGCCAGTTAAATAAATCAGATTAAAATGCAGCATTCGCATTTAACACCGCGGCTAAACCCGTGAACGCACCGTCTCGTAAGTTCAGTGGGAACATTTCTGCACACATTTTAAAGCCATTCGCATTAAATTGCACAACGCAGCCGGAAAAGCTTCGCCTCCACGATAGCGGATTTATTTTAACGGCGATGTGCTTATGCTTGAATTATCTGCAGAAGGGGCCACCGCAACGTACTGACTCACATTATTCATAACGATAAATGAAAAAAACAGACCTTTTTCTCTCGGGAGGCATTTCTCAGTGGACAGACGAGTGTGAAGAGAAACAACCGCTGTGCACCCAATGCAGAGAGAAGCATCTTTCACACATCTCTGACAGATTGAGGAATTTTACATTTATTTCCCACACAGATTTAACTTAACCGTGTATCTCTGAACCTTTGACCTTGCTTAATTTCTATTTATTGTCACTGAATAACAACCACAGGAACGCTGTTTGACTCAGCGAATAGAGACGGAGAAGCTGTTGTTTCTGTAGTTCTTGTGCAATGAGACACCTGAGCTGAGTCCATAAATCAATGTCAACTGACAGGAAGTTAATCGGCTGTTCACTATTTTGATGATCAAGTTCCAGCTTCTCCGAGCATTCGATCCTTTTTTTGTCCTGTCGAATTTTTTTTACGGCATCTTAGATGATATTTAATATATTATAATTTAATATTTAATTGAATCGAATTATTTATTTGTTCATCTTTTATTGTAATAAAAGATGAACAAATACTGATAGTAGCTGTGAGTTGGTTCTGTTAAAACACTTCGACTGGACTCACTGAGCTCATGGTTGGTTTTCTTCCCATAAAGGTTATTATGTCTTTCTTTTTTTTTCTTATGCGGATATTCTACATCCTTTTTATATGAAGTGCACCGTTATTGGTGCAACAGCCTATGCTCCTTTCTCCCTCTGTTGAGCCCGGCGCGCCATTCCAACGCCTGTGAGAGCAGTCGGGAAGATTTAAAGTGCTTCGCGGAAGCGAAATTATGAGTGACCTCTCTCGTAACACGCCGCTCTTTATCTCATTCTAATCCCAACTCATTTCATATGCTAAGTAAAAGCTCATATTCCTCTTCACTGTACACACACACACATCCCTCGTTTCCGGGGTGTGATTATAAAATTTGCATAGAGGATGTAGTCGGAGCTGTGAGGTGCAGGACTACCAGAGCTGGAGGCCCAGGCTCGCCGATGGTCTAATGCCTGTCAGGTGTAGAGAGGTGGAGGAGAGACTCCCACAATCCCCCACGTCTGGGGGTTTTATGACGAGAGCTCAGCGAGAGGAGCCCACAGAAAGCTCCCTCGCGTCTCACCTCCAATCGGTTCCTCTCAATCCAATTTGCATGCTCTGTTTGTTTGTCTTTTTCGTTTTCACAGATGGAGCGATGATTAGAAGAGAGAGAGGGAGCGAGAGAGAGAGGAGGGAAAGATGACTCCACCACCCTGGGGGGAGGACGAGGTGAGATGGAACCACTTCTCCGCTCACCAATGGTTCCATCTCTCCCGCCATCGGAGCGCCATCTGCTGGCCCGGTGGGGCGGGACAGCTGGTGTTGTGAATCAGGCCGCCACAATCAAAGGAACGGCTACTTCCCAACACCAGGGTCTCACCCTCACCCCTCTCACCCCATCCCAACACCAGGATCTGACCCCTCTCACCCCATCGCCTCGGCTGGCAACGAGCCGCTCAGCGTATGTTTCAAAGCGAGTGCTTTGTACTCTCCGGATGAAATGGCGATCGGTAATACTGGGACTTTGTACAAATCTGTGTGGAGTTTATGTTCCTTTTACATCATATCTCCTGAAATTAGGAATTAGAAGAAAGTACAGCAAATATCCCAAATAAAAATGTTAAATTATTTCAAACCCCATAGAACACACACAAAAAATGATGACATGAAATACAATAAAAAATGTTTCCCTAATAAATGAATTAAATGTGAATTTAAAAAGAATATGACAATGGTTTTGTCTTTTAATAAAAGCTACTTGTTAAAGACTTCATGGGAGTATTTATAATATATAATGGCAATGCGCCACCAGAAAATGACCTGAATGTATATACTTTTTTTCCCCTCATGAACAGCAGTGTGTTCACACCAAACTAAGCCCTTAAGCTGCTGAAGCTGTAGCTGATCACCTCCGGCCACTAAGGGATGAAAATGTATATTGCTCATTATCTTAATAAACCACCACCCTTCTGCTGATTGCCTTACTTGTGTGTCTGTGTTCTTACACCAAATACTGTATTTGTATGAATCATATAAAAGGCTGCCACTGTCACCATTAAATATATATATATATATATATTTTTTTTTTACGTAAAAGCGTAAAACTCATGACAAATATAATAAAGGCAGAATTATTGCAATCACACAAGTTTAATTTATCTCTAAAAAAAACTGATCTATATTCTTTCACGAGAATACATGTTTCCATACCTGACCTTGTAAATCTGTTATTTTTTAGTTTTCTTCACTTGGTTGTCGTTCAGTAGTTTTAGTTCAACATTTTATCTGTATTTACTGTTTTAAGTAGTGTGATCACAAATTCGACACACGCTTCAACGCGTTTTATTGTGTTGTGTTTATACACGTGTCACGTGGCTCCGAACACCAATTGACACCTCGCGCATGCGCAGTGGCCGGATACACCTTGGCAAACGTTGGTTGATCAATTTGAGCAGATGGTGAACGCCAGTGCGAAGTTTAGAAGTTTTAAAAAATACAAACCAGGCTACGAAATTGCCGTTTTTCTAGCCTCTCGTATCCATTTGTTTTAATTGTTAGCATGTTACCATCAGCTAGCCGGGTCAAACTAAACCGAGTCACGTTAAAAGACGTCGTTGGAGCTAACGTGGAGCCGCGGCGGAGACGACCGCCCAAAAAGCGAGAGGAACCGAAACCGGCCTCTAGCAACGAAGTACCGGTCCAGACGTCTCTAACGAGCCCGGAAAATGTGACCGCTAACCCCGCCGTGGGAGAGCCGGCGGAGAGTCGTGTAGGTACGCAGAGGCCCGAACCGGAGACGTGACGGCAGGTCGGCGATCGCGAGCGTGCGGCTTTGAACCCGAGGACCCCGAGGTTCGCTCGGTGCTCACAACCGGGTCGGACGGTCCGGAACAAAAATTTCGCGCGCCCTTAGAGCGCGGTAGCCGACCGTAAAAAACAACAAACACATCCAAATAAACGCGTGTGAGCCGCGAAGTTATTAAGCGCGACGGGGTCCGGAGGCGGGGCCGGTAAACTCAACGCGAAGGCCAGGTCCACCGGAGCGGGATGCTAGCGACTGGTGAGCTAACTCGGCTAACGTTCACGTGATTGTTAATTGACCCGCGAGCGAGCGTGTGAAGTTACTGGTGTTCAGGCGAGGGGGGTTTAAACGATGGCCTTCTGGAAGACGAACGTTCATTAACTCTTAGCTGATAGCTTATTTAATTTTTTTTTATTTTGGGGGGCAACGTGTGATGCTAAGCTAACAGCGCGGGTTATAGGAGGGACGCTGATGTAACGTTTAATACGTCGCAGTGACGTTACATTGCGTTGGGGTGATGTACTTTGATGTTAAGTTGGACAAACGGCAGTGAGTAACATTACATTTTTATTGCGCGTTAAATAAGATGATAAAAGCAGCTAAAGCCACATGCTTTCCTTCTCACCATCCAATTGAACATGGGAGTCCATAACCGATCAACAGAAACGCATTTCTGTGGTAATAAAAATTGGTTAATTTCGTTCATAAATGACTTCAGTTCGCTTTTTGCAATACTTGACAAGATTGTTTCCACTTGCAGACATTAATAGAAACGCACACCGTAGCCCCACTGGACATGGTGGTGCAGAGATTTGTCAGAGCCCCCGGTGGTGGTAAACACCCCCCCCCAGCAGAAGACATTTGGCAAACGGAGGCAAAAAGGGCCAGAGCGTCTCGTGTTTGAGGTTAAGATCAACAGGGAGATCAGAGTCACTGAGAACCAGGAGAAGAGTATCGTTTGGATAGGCCGGTACCCGAAGTTTGCGACGTACCAGGAAAATGTGAGGCTTTTAGTCCCGATTGTGGCTACGTGTTGCCGGACGTTCTCAAGACCGCGGTCGTGCGTTGCTTCAAGGGAGCTGGAGGTCGGTTCTGGCCTAGTTGTCTCGTGCACGACCGCCACAGAATCAAGGAAAGTGCTCCGGCTCCAAGCGGCGAGTTTTGCCCCAGAGTTCAGCCTGAGAGGACCACCAGTCAGAGCGAGCGGGTGCACAGACGTTATCCAGTAGTTTCCTCGAGAGTTGGACGAGTGAAAGCTCTGCAACCTGTTCTGCTTCTTTCTCACTAGGTGGAGGTATACAAACGGGGGTGGAGTGCAGGACTGGCATGTGGGACAGAGACGTCGGAGAGGTTCCTGGAACGGGATGTCGCCAGGTAGGAGCCAAGAGGATGAAGCTCAGGGGTGGCGGTGAAGTTGGGGTTTTGCCAGCCGCTCTGGGTCCAGAAAGCAACTGCTGCAGGGACCCAGCAGCGGCAACCGACTCCGGAGACCCAATGAAAGCGTGCATTTTGACGTGTGACGGCAGCGAGTCGCGGCCGGTTGACGGCAGCAGCTCGACCGCGAACGATACCCGTGTCCGGGGGAAGCCTGGTGGTGAGATTGAGAAAGCCACAGAAGCTGACGCACCACAGATGACGTCCGAAGGGTTGTTTCATGGGAACGAGGCAGAACTGGATGAAGCGGAGTCATTCACCTGCCAGAGAGCGAGGCCCTACATCATGAGAAGTAGATTCAGCTGTGCGCGCACACACATCACGTGGCCCTTCTCCACCAGTAGAGTCCATGCTGGATCTGCAGGCGGTCCAGCAAAGGCTTTAGGTCCCGAAGCTGGAGTCGCCTGCGACTCCCCACCAAACCAAAATCAGCCGGGCTCGTCCAGCGACGAGCTCCCCGCTGCACCTTCAGCCCACCGGCTTTGTGGCGGCGATGTGAAGGCGCGAGACGAGAACGGAGAAAGCGTTCAAGAAGATGAAACGCCGGCGCACGCTGCGGAGTTTGCGCCCGACTGTGGTCCTGGTCCTTGCTCGCCTGCGCTGGCCCGCATGTCCAACCCGAGTGGGAGCGGAGGGGAGCGTGACGCGCCGTCGTCTCCTCCGCTCGACGAAGCTGAAAGCTACAAGTCGACCCCCTTCCTCTCGGCTCTCGGCCTGAGTGACTGTGAAACCACCAGCACTTTGTCTCCCATGTCGTCTCTATCCACAGCGTCCTCTCTCCCACCTTCATCGGCCCCAGTGAAGGTCAAAGGCGTTGGGCGCACTGACCCTGCCGGTGCACCACTAACGTCCTTTTCACCTGAATGTGTGTTCAAAGCGGTGGAGGAAACGTTGTTCTTTGAAGTAACTCCAATGACTCCGTGGACTCCATCTTCTGCACAGCCGTGCGACTCTGACTCCATTCATTCATGCGAGTCCTCCCTTTTCCTCCCTCATCACGAGCGAGAGAGCAGGGACAGATTCTCCCCCGTCAGGAGCCCGCCATCTGATACGTGGCCCTTTGACCACAGGCGCGTCAACGACGGATTGTTGCACGAGGTCCTTCAGGAAAACCATGTAGAAACTGACTCAAATCATTTTCTGCTTCCTCCGATTCTCTCTCCTGTCACTTCACCACGAGGGCCTTCAGGGACAAGCCTCCTTCTCCAAGCAGCAGGCTGCTCAGACGAAGAGGAGGAGGAGGAGGAGCAAATCAACAAAGACTCCAGAAAACGCAAAATGTCCTCTGGATGTCGCACGCCGCAAATCGTTGATGGTAGAAAGGATTATCCTGAATATGGTAGTGGGGAAAAGGAAGACTCTGAAACTACTATATTGATGCCTCACTCCTCTCCGGATGACGATGATGATGATGGTGGTGGGGAACAGAGTAACAAAAAATCTAAACAAGTTCTCTCCGACCCCAAAATGACCACAGCCCTCGCCGCAGGGGAGCTCACAGAACCCGGCTCCCATCCCAGCAGTGATGATGAGGATGATGATGTTGAAGAAGAGGAGGAGGAGGAGGGATCAGTTCCGTCTCACGCAGCGCGCAGCGACGCGGATGAGTCCGGTGCAGACGTAGCGATCCATGTGCAGCCCGGCGCTTTGGATGAGATCGCTGCTTACGAACAGGACATCCTGCTGGTGGACGTGATCCAGGACGACCCGGAGCTGTTTGAAAACCTGCCCGAGCAAAGTCTGCTCAAGCTGGGCCCCATAAGGGCTCCTGTGGCTCCTGTAGCCGGGAGAAGTACGCCGTCGCCGAGGATAAACGCAGCATCACTGGAGAGACTGAGGTGAGATCTTCTATGCTGGTTGACGCTCCGCACACTTAAAGCTGGCTTCTCAGCCCGTTTCAAATAAAATCCCTGTTTTTGTTTTTCAGGTTGACTCCAGGTAATAAAAGTGTTCCTTTGGTCTGTTTTGATGTTGCAGGTTAGTACACTAGTCGGCCACAACGATTTCATCTGAAGATCATCCTCTTGATTGCACTTTTTATGTGTATTTTCCAGAGGAGACTAACTGCAGATCATGGAGACCTCAGGGAAGCAGCAGCACCTCTTTCAAAACTCAAAGCAGCACATGGCCTGATGCAGAAAAGCAAACCACCAACACGGTGACGTAATGGGGTCTAACTCTTCTAACTGCACTGCAACAGCCATCATGAACATGTAGTTCTTTCCCAAACTAAAGTCCAGGATGAAGAGAAACTGGACTGATTGTATTGAATTAAGAGAGCAGGAATTTGAGCAGACTCTTAAAATTCCTCTTTTTATTTTATATATAGTTTTCTTTTTACAATTCTAGTTAATAGGCTTCTTTTTTTACACATTTATGCTGTTTGTCAGTAACAATCTTTACTTTCTGCTACTGTGTCTTTGATCTGTTTACATTACAAACCATTGTCCTGTTCATATTTCCAACCATCCTTTAAACGCAACAACTACTCTTCCTCAGTGATGAATGAAAAGCTGAGACGAAAGCAAAAACAGTCGTACATCTTCTAACATCAGGAAGGCATTGTGAAATTGACCGAACCAGTTAATAGACGTACATTTTGTCATTTTAAATCTTTTTTTGTTGTTGGTCTGAGCAGAGTCTGCCGGATGCCAACAACAATCATGTGAACCGAGTCCCGGAGAGGTAGCTGTTTGCACTCGTCACGCAATGAAACATTTCTACGACCCTCTCGATCTTTCTTTGTTCTGACGATCACTGTGTTTGATGAAGGAGCCTCTGGACCGCGAGCCTTCTGCACAATAACCTCCCTGCGCCCACGACCACGAGAAACGGTAAACCAAGACGTGTCTGGCTTTGCTACTCGTTCTGTGACCTGAAACCAGATGTTGAAGAGTCCCTTCCGCTTCTGTGTCTGACGGTGTGTCCTTTCACTCTCTTGCTCAGGGCCTCCGGCTGCAAATACCACAGAGTTCAGGCGGCAGAATTCGATTTCTGTGAGTGTTAAGGCCTCATTACGAACATGCTTATTTGTAAAATATAAACTACGATGGAGCGGGTTTGCAGTTGGTCTCTTCGATTTCTCAATGTTGTTCCTCTAAAATGCTAAAAATAGTTTTCTCTTTTCAAAAGGACCATACAGATAAAACTTGATCGATTTGATTTCAAGAGACTAAAAATCTTGAGTTCCATAGATTAAAGTCATGACTTTTCAAAAGAAATCACAGAAATTGTGTAAATTCTAGGAGAAAGCGTACTAAGTGACTATTGTGGCAGACTTGAGCACAAAGACAAAGAGCCCATGAAAGAATAATGTGTGGCTTAATGCAGTTAATCTGCCTGGTGTCATCGCTATATATTGTATAAATACAGCTTGATAAGTCATCTAGATTCTTCTAAACCACGCGTTCCTAAGATTCTCACCTCCTGTGTTTGATGACGTAGCTCTTTCCTCTGATCCCTCAGTACTGCAGGCAGTACTTCAGTGAGTCGCTGTCCTGTGGGTTCAAGATGTGTCGCTTCCAGCATGTGCCTGCTGAGGGCAACGAGAAGGTACTGCTCAAAGAGAAAATCCCATCTTCGTAAGCCTGCCAGCTTCGTACCAAGTTCTAAGCTCACGGCGCTTTAAAGATCTCTACTGTTCCTTTTATTACTTTGGATTAAAGGAAATCTTAACTTTCCAATTGATCATTTTCATAACTCATGCAATGGAATCCAAGTTGTTCGTCAAATGCATCTGCACCTAAACCGTAACATTTAAAAGGCTTCACATCTGGGAGTCCAGACAATGTTTGTTTTTTTTTAACAATGTTTCAGCCAACCTGCAGCTTTTACGTATTGAGAGGGAATCACTAGTTTGTCAATTCATCTTTGGATAACGTTATGCTGCTAAACATGGCCAATATTTTAATTCATTTAGTTTTCTTTTTTGATTGTCCAACCAAGTTAACAAGGAGCAATTGATTGACTGGAAATGGTCAATGCGTGGACATACTGTAACTTTATTTATTAATCCTGTTCTAGTCCAGGTGGAGTCATTCTTCATGCTAAAGCTCACCAACACCCCGCTTCATTTCAGTCACTTCTCCTCTTTCAGCTGTGCATCGACACTTTGACACGCTTCGTCAAAAATCCAACATGCCTTCAAAAAGCAGGTGAGTTTTTTTTATTTTTTTATTCACTAACTAAAACCTACTAAACTAAAACCATGACAGTTTATTTTTTTTAATGTAACTTTCTGCGTGACCTGACAGCCGGTTTCTTTGCGTAAAACCGTCTCCTTTTGGCCTCCAGGAGCCATGTTTGTGTGCTACTACCAGAGCAACCGACCGGGAGCGTGCTTCTCCATGCAGGTGCTCCTGATGCTCCTCTGGGCTCTGCTCAAAGCCGGCATGGTGTCCGACGTCCTGTCGGTCCTCAGCGTCAGCTTGACCCACAAGATTGTGGTCAGTGTTGTTTTAATTTTTCTTTTTTATCCCATCAGTTCAGTCAAAATGTGCCCCTGCAGTACGCCCTGCAGTCCAGAAGGGGGCGTTGTTCCGTTCTGTTGGAAACACTCAAAGGTTTTATTCAAATAACCCTTCGCAGTGGGCCTTAGAGTGGATGCTGAACTCATTCCTCTCTTCCCCCCCATTGCAGCCGACTCATGAGTTCCTGTTGGCCCTCTTCAACCACGTGAGAGAAAAGGATCTCTCCGGTCTGGTACCTGAACTCATGCAGCTCACATTCAAGGTATCGTGACGACCTCGCACTGAATTTCCTGCCCGGTGGTTGTATGTGGAGGTTGAGGAAGTGATCGCGCTTAAATGAACGTTGACAGATGGCCAGTGCGGGTCTAGTGCTGAGTGTGGACTGCCTCGACTGCGTCAAAAACACTCCGGAGTTCCAGCAGGCGGTCAACGCAAACCCCCTCGTTTTGGTGTCTGGTAACAACAAGTAAGTGGAATCATCATCACTTCAACCAACACTAGTTAATTAACCCTTTGCAGGCGCTTGATGCTGTTTGAACGAGCCGTGGAGACCACGCTGTCACTAACTGCACTCCCTGGATAAATATCACGAGGCGGGCAGAAGCACAATATGCGTTTGATGGACTTATACAGGATGTCAAACTGGGTCCGAATCGAAGGACTTGGGAAAGTGTCAACTATTGTCAACACTTGCTTGCTCTCTGTTCATATTTGTTCTACAAGGTCATTTACCAGCGCTCCTCTTCCAGAGTCCCTGAATCTGGCCCATTCCATGGTAGAAATAGAGGTTAGTGCATCAGAAGAGCCTTTCTGTCACTCTCATCCAACGAATAGTTTTGTGTATGATCCGTCAGTGCAACGCGTCCCCTCTCTGTCAGCTTTGTTCCAAGCAGGAGGACTGGGGGAGGATGGGCACGGTGTTCAGCGCCATCGTCCAGTCCAGCAAGTGTCTCAACCAGGTGGGGAAGATCAGCGGCCGCGTTGCCATCGCGCTCCTCTCTGAAGGCAAAGACAAGCTGTCGTTGCCCTTTGCAGCCTTCGCTGAGACCGGTAAAGGGTTAGAAAGACCAGAACAGTATACAAAACATGTACTTCTTCCTTCCCAATAATAATACATTATAATTGTTCTCATTTTTAGTGTGTCAGAGCGAAAGAATCGACAACCCGATCAGGAGTTCTTTAGGCCGGATCGGCGTCTCTCTCATGTTGAGATACCACAAAACGCATCAATGGGCCAAGGTTGTGTGTGTTTCTTTTAGGGATACCTTTGCTAAAGCAGCACACCTGTTGATTCCAGCCTGAATGACCTGAATGTGACGCTGAAGCGTGCTTGTGTGTCCGCCTGTAGGGTCGGAGGGTGGTGGAGGTTCTGTCTGTTTCAAAAATTAACTACGCGACACTGAAGGGCTTGTTTGGGAACGAGGACGGAGCGTCACGCTGCTACCTGGTCACCGTGGCAACGGAGCTCTTCCTCCTGAGTGGCAGCCTGGAGGGAGCCCTCAACACACTCCGAGGTGACTGCTCCGACCCGCGGCTAAACGGGTGGACCCTACATTTTGCCAGGGGCGCATGGGACATGGAGCAGCCAGGGTTCAAACCTCTCTACTCCATGCGCCACCGTCGCCGCAATAAACTCTTTTTAATAGATTCACGCATAGCAGTTCAGCTGCTGTGATGCTGTTGACCCAGCGCAGAATGTGGCAGTACATTGAAGGCTTTTATTTTGAAAGTAAAGACCTCAAGCAGCGGATCTGGTGTGTGCTGCGTTTGTGTTAAAGAGATTAAATTAAATTCACCCCCATTCAACCGCCTAAAACACCTCTTTGCTTCTGGTTGGGTTCTTTTGCAGGTGAATCTTCACAATTCTGAGTTTGGCTCTTGTCCGTGTTTCTGTCGTTTCAGAGAACAAGTGGTTCGTGAGTTCGTGCGCGTGGCCGTGTGAGCCCGCCGACCTGGAGAGCAGGACGCGCGTGTTGATGCGTCTGGCTGAAAAAACCTCCCACAGAGACACGCTTGAGGTCCTCTGTAATCTGCCCGGACTCAAGGAGCCAAACGGTGAGGGAGAGAAAATGACCCCGTGCTGCGCTGACTCCAAGGTTCCCAGATGTCATGTGATTGTATGTTTTTCGTTTCAATCCAGACATGGTGGATGCTTCCCGCTACGCCGCTCTGTTTAACGATCAGCTGCGAGCGTTCGTCGACCGACAGATCTTCCCCGTGGCTTCGGACGCCGTGAACTTCATGCTCTCTAAAAAACTGCCGGTTGACCCCGCCCTGCTGCAGCTGCTCCTGAACAAGCTGGGCAATCAGAACCTCTGGCTCCGGGCGCGGGAGGTCTTCAGACGTGAGTACCACCGTCCGGTTCCTCCGACCGGCTCGCGTCTAAAAGGTTCAAAGAAAAAGGGGCGTCTATTAACGGTGGCGTGCGTTCATCAGACTCCCTGAGCACGGGCTACTACCCTGCCGTGTCGGCTCCCCCCGGCTTCATGGCGCTGATCGTCCCCTGTCGGCTGGGGGAGGTGGAGCTGGCTCTCAGCCTGGAGATGTTCATCGCCGTCAACGGCACCAGCATCTTCCACCTTTCCGAGACCTCCACTTCCTGTCTCAGCATCACGCTCAAAAGGTAACGCCGCCCGCGCGCCCGTCGCGCTCGATGTGTTTTTTTTTTTTGTGGTGTTACGTGATCTGCTCTGTGCGTGATGCCGCCGCTTCCTCCCCTCCCAGGACTCAGAGCTGCGAGAGCGAGTACCTCGCCGCCGGCAGCCGCATCCTGTCCGCGGCGTGCGTCCTTCATCCCAAAGTCCTCGTGCAATACACGGCGGTGAACGCGTCGCACGATCAAGTGTTCTTACTCGACGTTCCCTCCGCCCGCTGCTGGCTCCGCCACAATCGCATGTGGGCCAATGAGGTGTGGACGCACTGATCAAACGCGCTCGGTCCCGCCCCCATACGCCGCGCACGTGCGCTCCAAACTGCTCATGACTCAGAGACATCAGTGGAAAACACAGCCGATGAAATCAGGACAACCCGCCCATGTGCGTCCCTGCTTGTTTGTGCTCGTAGTTCATTTTTGCCTTTTGACCAGGTAGCAAAGAATCACAAACAAAGACTGACGCCAGAACTTCTTTAGTGTTTTGGTTTTTACAACAATAAATCGTTGTTTGCTGAAGTGTTCTTTTAGCTATTTTCTTTTGATTAATGTCACTGTGTGATTTACCATCTGAGGGAGCTTTGTGGAGGCCACGATCTTTTTGTATGGTTGTTACAAGTATTAGATTTAGTTTATAACAACAATGTAAATAATGTTTTGGTCTGTGTGTATATATTTACATATATTGGTAAGTCTGTGACGGTATTATGTTGCTGTATTGTACTGATTGTAGAAACTACAATTGTTAATTGTTCAGGAGCTGTGATCTACATTTTCTTTGTAATGTTTTTATAAAAAAAAGTTCTGCTCCAAAAGGTTTTGACTGTAGTGTTTATTTCCATCATAGAACTTTTTTTCTTTTCTTTTTTTTTTAAGCGATAGCTGTCAATATGAAGCCAAAGATGCTTTGTAAACCGGTGGTTTGTGTCTGTAACATTCAGACTTTGTGATTAGGAAATGAGAGCGTGTTTGTCGCTACTCTCTAAGCTAACTCCACATCTAGAAAGTCAAATCTAAATGTCTTTATTTCCTCGGTTTACATAGTCAGATATTAAAGTCAAAGAACTCCTTTTCTACGCATTTATTCACAGATCCTTGTTAGTGGACAACCGAACCAGCAGAGGGAAGCAGCGCTCTGCTGAGGGGCGCCGCTGCCTGCAATAAGGCGTAAGAATTCATACGAAAAGAGCTCAGTCTCCCGCTTTTGTCAAAGACGACATACCGACTTTGTATAACTTCCATCCTGACAACATTATAGTTGTTAAGTGCTACACTTAGTGTCATAAATTAGTTTGTTGAGACTGAATAAGGGCACTTAAAGTTAAATCAAGATGATGCCGATAACAATGTAGGTGAGGGTCAGAGATCATCTGAACACTGAGCTACTTGTGTTTTTGTTACTGCTAATGGTCAGAAGTGCATTGTTCGTCCTCGCTCTCAATAACCTCATTATTCTTCATATTTCGGGGATAGAGGGCCCGTCACACTGGCTCGCTGGGCCCCGCGGTGCCTCCATGAAGGTCTGAGTGAAACATCCTGCTTCACGGGTTTCTCCTCAGGGGCGAGTGCGTTTTCTCCCTTTGATGTATCAGCAGAACCAATGGCGTCTTTTAAAGCCCCTCTTCCCCCGGCGTGTCATCGATCCCCCCCTGTGAGAGGGTGCTGTAAATCAACTCCGCCATGTTCTTTCCTTTTGACCCCCAAGATAAACGGAGTGACCTGCGTCAAATGAAATGCCTCTGTTAGATAAAGAAAAACACAAGCGCAGTTTTGAGTTTCACACGCGTCTTCAACAGCATTTATCCAGGTTGTAAATAACAATCCTGCGCTGGTGGTGTAACTAAACGCTCAGGGACTCGCAGCTCATTTAAGTAAATATTTAATTCTGACTAAAGTATGTGTTTGCCTTTACTGTGTTAGTTTATTTTATATCAGTTATTTCTTGACTGACTTGTGCTGCTGACGGCTGACTAAAGCACTTTTGAGGCGAGTCCTCCCTGTTTTACTGCCTTCTCTTGTGTTTCTGCTCCCACCTGTTTTTAGAAGGAAGGAGGAAAGAAGACAGACAGCAGATCAATAGCCTCCATTGTTATTACTATTTATAGCCCACTCCCTGCTTCTCAACCCAGTGTTTACCTGCCACCGCGACGCATCAAATGAGACGTTTTTAAGTGGCTGACAGGAGCAATTATTATTATAATCCCCAGCATCTCCAAATGTATCAATGTATGTACACTCCTACTTATACAGTGTGTTGCTCACATGCATACACACAGTCTGTGTAGCTGAAAGGGCTTTAGGTTTTAAAAAGAAATAAAAACAAACAATTGTGTATAAGTGTGTATAATATATAGACATATATAGTTTATATATTAAAAGAAGTGAAATATTTGTACATATTTAAACATGACTTCCGTACACAACTTTAACCAGAGTGACCTGAGGCCGGATGGCTAGTTTACAACCGCGTGCACGCCACTACAACACGACCACCGAAGGCTCGTGAGCGCGCGCGTGACCACACTCGCCATCAGGAACGAGCGTGTGACGCCTCCGCCCCCCCCCCTCCACCCCCTCCCTCTCTCTCTCTCTCTCTCTCCTCCCTTGGGCGGAAGTGGGTCCATTTTTTTTCTCTCAATCGAATAAGAGGCTCGAGGAGCAGCGCGAGCCGCACGCACACCCGCGAGAGCGCGCGTTAACGGTAACACGCGACGGGAGTACACAGCGGCAGCAGCAACAACAACAATAACGACGACGTACCGGACGTTATTCGGCTCCATTGGGTCGTTGGACCGAGCTGTTGTTTTTTTTAGCGGGGTGAACACCCCCCCCCGCAACCCCCTCCCACCACTGCGCATTCCTCCAGGCACAGAGCCCGGGCAGGGAGACCGACCCGCCGGGGGAAAGGAGAGCCAAGCGGCGGCCTCTTCGCCAGGTCGGACCGGTGACTTCACCCAGCGGAGGACCGCGGCAGACGTCCCCGTTGGATGTTTTGACTCTACCGGACTCCCCCAAACACACTCCACGCCCCCGTCCCGGAACAGACACACACCTGTGTTCCTGCGTGACGACGTGCGATGAGCTCGCTTTGATGAGTCATTCGCGGTGTCGCGGTCCGAGGATACCGACAGACCGGCGGCTGCGCCCCGACGCCGCCCGCGCGCACCCCGATGGTGGACTAGAGTGAGGAGCCCCAGCGACCGCACGGGCCTCATTTGGACTGGGGGGGGGGGCGGTGGTTGTGTGTGTGTGTGTGTGTGTGTGGGAGGATGGTGGTGGTGTTATTAGAAAAAGCTCGATAACTGTGGAATCTTCTAAACTCGAGTGGGGGCGGATTTTTGGAGCGCGGAGCCCCGGAGTCATGTCGCCGGGCCGGCGGGGGAGAAGAGAAGAACCCCGACGCCGATCCAGCGTCCCTCCAGCACATTCGGCTTCATTTCACGAGCCGGAACGAAGCTCCGTCGGACCGCTGTGATCTCGACGCGGATGCCTTCCACGACCGACTCCGCACGAGTGTTTCTCTCGCTCGGTGACCTCTGAATTAACCTTGCTTTTTTTTTTTTTTTTTTTTTTTGAAGAACGGCCTACCTCGTTGATCTGCGTCGGCTCGTTTTTGACTGTTGAACTGACTCGATTGCCTCATGAATCTACCTCAAACGCAACTTTATTTTCGACGCGTCCCGGCGGCCCGACGCGTCCCCGAATAAACACCTCAACGTCATCGCCGCGCGCGACTGTAGGCCGAGCCCGTGTTTTCGGCGCCGCCACAGATGGCTTCGTTCCCGGACTCGGACCTGCAGACCTGCCCGCTCTGCAAGGAGCTGTGCGGCTCCTCTGCGCCCATCTCCTCCAGCTCTTCTACCTCGTCGTCTTCCTCGCACACCTCGTCCTCCTCCAGCCAGACCACCCGCAGGCTGCACGTCCTGCCCTGCCTGCACGCCTTCTGCAGGCAGTGCCTGGAGGGCCAGCGGAGCCCCGGGGACCCGCTGAAGCTGCGGTGCCCCACCTGCGACCAGAAGGTGTGCATCTCCGAGGCCGGCGTGGACTCCCTGCCTTCCTCCAACTTCCTCTTCAGCAACCTGCTGGACGTGGTGGTGAGCTCCGAGGAGCAGATTCACAACAAGAATGGCCACCATCTCCTCCACCACCACCACCAACAACAACAGCACAACAACCACCACCAGCAACACCACCTGCGGGGAGGCCTGGGTGGGGGCTCCTCTGGCTTCCACCACCCTCACGGAGGCCTCCTGCACCCCGGCCACCTGGGAGAGCCCCAGTGCAGCTCCTGCGACGAGGAGAACCCGGCCACCTCCCACTGCCTCGACTGCCAGGAGTACCTGTGCGACAACTGCGTGCGGGCACACCAGAGGGTGCGTCTGACCAAGGACCACTTCATCGAGCGCCTGGGGGACAACCTCCACCTGGGCCGGGTCAACGTCAACAGCAACCCGGGGCAGCCGGGGGTGTCGGTGTCCCTCGCCCAGTCCCTGCAGAACAACTTCGCCCTGCTGTCTCTGTTCCAGGACCAAATGAGCTTCTGCCAACACCATGACAACGAGGTGAGTGGGGCGCAAATACAGCTGCTGCACCCGGGGTCACAGAATACATCCATCCATCCATCCGTCCGTCGGCCTCTGGCACTTATTAAGGGAGGCAAGCAGTGGTGTGTAGTATTTGTGTAGTATTTGTTGCACAATCTCATCGTCTAATAGAGTTGTGTGTGTAGTAGTAAAGGACCATACTGGTGGACATATGGCCTTGGGTTCAAAGGGAGCTGAGTGGCTCTTCACCTAGTTCCCCAGAGACGAACGGGCACGTGCGCTTGGCTGGATTCTCACACACACACACACACACACACATGCAGAGTCTGGTTAATCTGTACCACACCATCCATCCAGGGCAGAGAGAGGCCCCGTAGTAACTGCACACATGTTTCTTTGACTGTTGGAAGTTCTATCCATGGACGTATTCTGGAGCTTGAGGGTCTCTCTGATAATGCAAACGAGAAGCTGGAACTCGGGGCCCACGGGGCTTTTTTTTTTTTTTTTGGGACCATGTGATCTGGTCATAATAAACTACAAAGGCCTGTAAAACCGCAAACCAAGTTTTTCTTGCGTTTGGTCATATGGTTCGGGAAGAATGACAAATTGGGGGGGGGGTCTTGGGAAATATAATTTAGCTTGAGCTTAAGGAAGTTCTCCCTGCTGCTGGAGAGAATACAGCACCAGCGTCACACGTTATTGCCTCTGTGTACATTATGAAAAGTGATCCGGTAAGTCGACAGATTGTGTGTGCAGAGCGTGTTAACGCTCACGCTGAGGATTCAATTAATCCACTCGGGCGGTTAAAGCCATCGTAACCTTCTCACACAACTTTGAATAAAGCGTAGCATGCGTCCACTTTACCGCCAGTTACAAAGCAAGCAGCCGATACTCTTTGTTAACTGAACCATCGAGAAACACAACCACCCAAAATACAACCAGCGGTGCAAAAGCAAAACGTATAAAGTCGGGCTCGGAGTTATTTTTGTGATCCTGCTGAATTTTAATTTTAAAACAATCGCATGAATGCAATTCTGTCCGTAGTTTTAAAAAGTATTCAAGGCTCTGATCACCAAAAAGCCAACCTCCCCTGGCCATTGCCAGTAAAGAGGTGAGCCCTGTTTTCCAGTAAGGCCTTTATTTCCCAATAACGCCCTCGCTCGCTGTGCGCGCCCCTGGGGGAGGGAGTGACACGAGAGAAGGCCATTCTTTCTTTACCTATGAGCACTGAGCAAGCAGTCATTGTCCATCAGCCGACTCCTCATCCATCAGATAATAAAACAGTTCCTTTATATTCGCAGTCACTCCGTTGGAAGGACCGGTTTTGGCCTGTTTGCACTTCCCCCGATTTTCAGATTGGATAACGACGAGTCAAGTGAAACGTCTCCTATCTGCTTTGCTTCATCTGTCGTTTGGTTCTTTTAAACCCTGTGTTTGCGTTTGCATTGCAAATGTGCTTAAATTCCTTGAGTTGTGGTGAAGCAGCGCCCCCCCCACACACCCCTTCCCCCGATGGAAGACATTGATTTAATGCGCTGGTTCTACGCTACATGTCATTTAGCTGACGCTTTTATCCAAAGCGAATTGCATTTGTAACCCACGGTTTTCACATTTGGCCCGAGGAGCAATTGGGGGTCGGGTGCTTTGCTCAGGGACACTTTGTCATGGAGCAGCCAGAGTTCGAACCGCCAACCTTGCCAATTTGCTCCTTGCTGATGAGGTTGCACGTTCGGGATGGAGGCAGGTTCCGCGCTGCAGCAGTGATGCTCACTGTCCCGTCAAATCGGCAGGAACTGGAGGACCGACTTCGCTGGCTTAGTTACCGGCACAATAGTCTGTTGTCCTTTTTGTTTCATGAAAGGGGAGGCTAGTTAGCTAGCTGACGAGGGATTTGTTTGAGGTGATGCTGGCCGGGAAAACCACAAGACACCAATAAGTCCAATGCGGCTTTTGTTCTGAGGTCTCTGAGCCAACGGCCCAAAAAATTAGTCTTTTTGCCTCGGTTTCCTCCACCTCTCGTTCAATGCTGGTTTCCTCCACCTCTCGTTCAATGCTGGTTTCTCTGCCCAAACATCTCATGGATTCCCTTTACTCCACAATTCCAGTTTGCTCCGTGTTCTTCATCTGAATTGTGCGGATCACCCAGTCACATGATTGCAGACGAGATGCCCCTGAGCAGAGCGTCACAAAGCTCCATCCACATATCGCTCTGGATTTCTTGAGGCGACAACGGCGGCTTTTGCTCCAGAGAGCCGTTTGTTGCACTCATCAAAATGATCTCTCTCTCGCGGCGGCGGTGGTGCCGCGTGTCGTCTCTCATCTTAATCATCCCCTCCGCTATCCTGCCCTCGTATTAAATGGGATGTCCAGCAGCGCCACGGCGATCGTTTCCTCTCACGCACGCCCAGAACCAACACGTGTATCTACAGTCGGCCGGCTGTAGACTCCTTTTGTGTATTTAAGCGCAGCTCTTAGCAGAAGGCACAGGTCATGTTTTTGTCTGGGCTGCTCCTCGTCGGGGTCGGGGCCCTCCGTCCCATTACGAGGGGAGCGTGTAGTGCGAGGAGTGTTACGTGAGCCGGGGGCCGAGGAATTCCTCCTCTCCCAGGAGAACGGTAGCGCCGGCGGTGGCTCCAAAACAACAAGAAAAGAGATTTAGTCCGTTTTTGTTATTGCGGCGGTGTTCGGCCCCCTGGGCCTGAAAAGGGGGTTCAAGGATAGAATAAAGAAAAGGGCCTTTTAATGACCAACAGTAAGTCAATCGTGACTGAAGCCCGCTAATGGTTCTGTGCTGCGGCTTCTGCTAATGGGGACACATTAGCAGTTAGCCACGGCCGCCAGCGCTGAAGCTAATGACATCTGACTGATCCAGCTGCAGGACGTGTTAGCTTTAGCGAGCGTTAGCGTCACAAAGCTTTTCTGGAGGTTCGGGTAAAACCGGGAATATTTAACTAAAGAGTTGGCGTCTATTAGTTTTACATTTGAAACAACTTCCAGGTATTCAGGAATCCAGGTATTTATTTGGTTGAGAACAGCTCCTCACTCCTACACGTCAAGGCTGATTACGCTCCGTTACTTCTATTCAGGCCAACCTGATTCATTTAGCTGACAAAGGGCTTTGATATCTGGTCTCCAGATTTGGAGAATCTAATCTTAACATTTGGTTTTTGAATAAAAGAAGGAAGCTTTCACACAGGCACATTTATGGGGGGGCTTGATATTGAATAAGCGGGTGAGGAGCGTGTAACTTCATCAACTGTATGGAATGGGTTGTTTTTTTTAATCTAATGGACCCCGTTTAAAAAAAATCTAATATCCCATTTCTTGGCTTTTGGCTTGAGTTTTCATGGCAAATGTCTGTGTCTGTGATAATGACTCAATGCGGCAGAATTTACGACCTCATTGAGTCCGGAACGAAGGAAACAGACGGATGGACCGTGAAATGAGGGGCTTCAGTGGGGAAGAAGAGGCCTCCGGGGCAGCGGACTAAGTCGGCTACCCACTGATAAGTATGTAAAGGCTTTGTGCACACACGAGGGGATCCGCTGGTGCACAAGTGTCGGGTAGTTGCTCATCTGCAACGCTGGCAGGCGGAGAGAGAGCGGCTCGTCTGCAGTGGAAATGGAGAATTGGATTACATCAAAAGCGGTGCCCCCTTCCTACTGGGATGTCAGCCCCTCCGTCCGAGAGACGCCGCCAACGGCGCGATAATCCCACCTAATCCATCTGCGCTTCGAATTAAATCGCTGTCGCCATGGCAACGCGCCCGGGCTGTGCACGTGGCGCGGACGTGTTTGTAATGTAACGTCGGCCCGCGAAGGCGTGCAGCCGAGAGCGGGCTGGAAAGTGGGTTTGCCGGGCGAACGCGTCGCGCTCGTAAGGACGAGGTGAAGTCGAACTAATCGGGTTGACGGCCCGCCAACGCCCGCGGATCTCCTCCGGGAGGAGGGAGGGGGGGTGGGGGTGCCCGATTCGGCCCCCGGCGCCGGTGGTCCAGTTGCCGTGGGAGGTCCATTAAAGTTTATTTTGTAGTTCGTCACACATTTGCCCAATTCTCCGTCTCTTCCTGCGGCTTGACGGCTCTTTTATCGGGTTCCGTAGGGGGAAGAAGATCACTTTAAAGCGCATGCTGGGCTGTGTGATGGCCGGTTTTTACTCCTACCCCCCCACAACCCCACCCACCCCCACCACCCCCACCTCTCAACTCCAGAGCTCCTGAGCAGGGAATGTTTGTGAGGAAACCTAACCCAACACTGACGCTGATACAAGGCCAGAGGAATTCCTGTAACTTGAGTTTATACCTCCTGGGTTCTCTTCTGCCCCGCCGCCCCCCCCTCCCCCCTCACACACGCACACTGGGTATTTCCTTTTGTCGACTGCTGCCTTTCTCATCAACCCTCTTTGTCGGCTCTTTGTCGGAGACAATGGACATTATAGATGCGAAAAGTCTCCTCGGGAAGATTGAGCAGCTGTCGCCGCTGAGGGGCGAGTGATTGCGTTTCATCGCTCATGGAAGTCTGAGTGCATCTCCCATCTGTAGGTAGTTACCCTCTGAAGAGGATTTTACTGAGTGTGTGTCTGTGTGTGTGTGTGTTTCCACAGAGCCAGCAGAGTTGGATTATATGAAGTTGTACTTCCCGGGTTTTAATGCACAACATGTGGCCAGTAATTAGAGTGCGTTCCCTGTTTCCTGTGTGTTGTGCGTGCGTTTCATGTAGGCTAAGGGGGAATGTGTATGTGTGACCGTCTCCCGGCTTTGATGTCCATTTGGACCGTATAAATTTAATGGATAGAATTTATCACATTGGCTTTGACAACAGGATTTAAAGCCCATTCAGGAGCTGGAACCTGTGACTTCCTACTCCGGGGTTCGGCACAAATGGGCTTTTAATTGGCCGTTATTTGACCTCGCTCAACGGGATCGCGCAGTTAACACATTTGACGTTAAGACTCTTAAGCCCTTTTTGGGGGACGCTGCAAGCTTCCAGCCACATTGTGTCCACCTTCAGTGGACGCTT